AACTGCATAGGACATAAGTACCTCCCACATGCAACAATCAAAGACTTGTTATGCAAGTAATAACTAGCCTGTAGATTGAAGAGGCAATGAATGTAGCAACCCCATGCAGTCTACATCAACATCTCACGTACAATTAGCATTACCACAATCAAGTACACTAAGCTACTGATGAATGATAACGGTGGACCTAACACAAGTGTAATAACTTCCATACAAGCACATTCAACCACACAAGCAACAATGATTGATCATGCAATGAATAACAAATCAAGTACATCTGAAGAAGTTGCAAGCACTTGTACGCACTTGCAAGCAGATTTCCAACAAATACACCAATATCCTGCAAGCGGGGATGGATAATTTGCAATTGATGCAAACACCTGCAAACGACTGTAGGAAGCCCGTCAAGTTACAATAGTCTACCTACGAACAATGATGAGCAATTTGCAGCAGTTGTCAGGTCACCCTTACATTTGACAAAAATGAGCTGATGAACAAATACGTTGATTCGTCTATAAGCAATGACAATAGATGTAGTAACTTGCCAGCTAACATGTATAGAGAAATCAGTGGCGAATGTGATTCAATTGATAACCCACTTCAATGTTCAGATAAACATATGAAGTTTGCTTGCACATAATAATGTCTCCTTGTATGCATATGCATGCAACATGCAATGGGCACCATCAATCTCCAACGACATAGAAAATGTTGTCAAATTGGAATTTTACCACGCCCCTGAGCATAAGGTGGATACCTTGGAAACAACCTGAGGAAAAAAGATGAAAGATAAGTAGATGGAGGCTTCCAAAGGTATCAGTCGGCTGCTGAACCCATCTTGAGAAGATGGAGTTGAAGCTGAACTGCCCAACCTGTTTGAATATTTTGAACCAACCAATGTTGTTGCCTTGTAATTAGAGTTTATACAGTTCTTGTAACAAGATATTGACAAGTGAGAGATACAGCCGTCGTGATTGCAGAGAATGAGACTCCTTTGCAAACACGTACAGTGTAACATGCAATAAATGCAAGCACCTGCTAATGATAATGGAAGAATCGATGCATACATGATGGTGACAATCAACAACATGCAATACTTAGCATGTAAGATTAAATGACTCTGTAGAGTAAAAAAATGAGTAGTTGAAAAAAAGTCTCATTCTAACATCTCTTCAGAATTATGAGGTTTCTAGAAAAATTTCATATTATTCGAATGAAGATATGGAGATCAAGCTTCACAACCTAATATAATACATGTGCACCATTAAAAGTTGTAGCTACAGAGTGAAGAAAGTTCTTCTTGTTTGCCATGTCAAGGACTATAGGAGCAGCTTCCACATCCATATGCATATCAGATGATATAATATCACTGGATGTTGGTGTTTTTGTTTTGTTCGTGCTTCGAGGAGACTACCTTGTGATGAAGCGGGGACAGAGAAATCTAATATCACATCAACCGAGCATTTGGTCTCATCAGATTATGATACATCATCTATCTCAAAAGGACTTCATGTAATCTGAATGTCCTCATTTAGTCAGGACTAGATGACTCGTAGATCTGATCTCCCGAAGAATGAGAAAACGGAGCATGTATTAAAACAATGAAGTATTTTATGGTTATTCTGAATGCAACACTACGATTCACCTGTAAGCAGAAGCATGAAATCAATAGTAAAAAATCACGGGTCGCTGAAACACAACGCCACATCACCGAATCCACAACATTCATGCAAGCAATAGAAGGCGTTTGGAGATTCCTAAATGAAATTTGGTGCATTTATCAACAGTGGTTATTTGTTAGTTGATAATCACAAAAACATCCCTTTGCACTGCATGCAAATATTTTAAAAATTCCCTTCATAAATGCATTGTAACATGCATGATAATTCATTTAAACATGTTATCCAGCATCACGAGACTCATTTTATTGTAACATTGCATTGCATTTACATGCCAGTATGTTGCACATGCATGTATCGTAACTTGCAGAATACATCATGTGAGCATGTCGCCTTGACATTGCTATTGCATTCCAAAATGACCTGTAGCATGCATTTGCTGGATGCGGAAGATTTCATTCTAGTATGTCGCTCAGACATTACTATTGCATTCAAAAAATAACCTCTAGCATGCATTCATAGGATGTAGAGGGTTTCATTCAAGCATGTCAATTGACATTACAATTATAATTTTAAATAACCTATTGCATGCATTGGTAGGATGCAGGGGGTTTCATTCAAGAATGTCATTTGACATTGTAATCACATTAAAAAATACTCCCGCATGCAATTACAATAAACAGAGGGTTTCACTCAAGTACATATTTCAAAATTGTACTTACATGCAAAAATATGACGTTTACATGCATTACTATATGCAGAACACTTTACACGAACATGCAAGTATTCATGCCGATCTATATACACACATGCATGTACAACATGTACATCACACACATCCAATGCATATACATAATTGTTGTATAAATATGCCCAACAAGATACGCGCAAAAGCATACACTCGCATGAGCCCCGACGAGTGTGTTGTGGACATACTCGCGACGTCTGAGGATGTTGCTTGGGTTAGGAAATGAATTTAGATTTGAACCTGATCCTCTGTTAGTAAGCTGACATAGTTTACAAGGTCCAACTAATAAAATAAAAATGCCCCTAAATACACCGATGATGGCCGTATTGATAGAAAATCTCAATCAAAGAAGCTACAAACATTTAAAATGCCTCTCAAATTCTCAAATACCCATAAAAATTCAAAAATTCTAAAATAATCATCCAAAATCTAGATATTTAAAATTAAAATAAATCATCAAACACTTAAATAAAAATTCATCCACCCTCCGCAATAGTTTGACTGGGTGGACAAATTTGAAAATTATTTCAGCTCATAAAGAGCTAATGTCTAGTCGAAAATATCACTATGATTCATTCTCAATTTGTCTTTTGTCAGTAAGGACTGAACACATATCCTCTAACCAGTGATTTCGTCGCCAAATGACACCACACCGATGATTTTGCCGCTAAATGGCATCATAGGTTAACGATTATGATCGTGACCCTCTGACTGGGTGGTTTTGCTACAAAATGATACAATTATATTACGGTTATGGTCAAAGCCCGCATGTTTCCCAACGGTGTTAAATCATTGAGCAATGAATCAATAAGATATAATCGATATGCACAAATCTCTCTGTTAGCTAAGGTGGATTCAAATTTTTCCCTAAAGACAAATATCCACCCAAGATCTGCAAGGTACCCTTGGACGAAGCAACTCATGGTTGCCGACAATGATCCTTATGTTAGGTTAAGTCAACTACGTCCTCTGACTAAGTAGACCAGGGACCACGCCCTGGACGACGAACTCATGAGATCTTTATTAGGCTCATCATTATTCCCTCCAACATTTACTTTAAGTGCAAGATGGTGAAATTTTCAATTTTAAATATAAAATTATCAAATACCTAAACCCATGCTGCTATTATACGCCATATACCACGTATCTCTATGTATATGTTTGACGATTAGCCTTAATCGAAAGTTCTCTCTTGTCATCGGGAGGGGTAATTAACTATAGGGGCTTATGTCTATAGGAAACTTGAACTCAGATCATAAAGTCTTCGCAAAATGAGGGCGAAATCTCTGGGTAGTAACTTATCTACAAACCCAATCGGCCTTCTGAAAATTTGCCTCGGAACTTAATTGATAAAACTCTCCTCGACGATCCGAAAAGAAAGAAAGAAAGGGGTCTGTAGAGAGGCTAGGGCACGAATTTTCGGAGCCCACAAATAGCCTCTCTCCAAATGCAAGATTAAGGCCAAGTAAATCAATTTCATCATCGGGGCTGCATTGGAGTGATTGAAAATCTTTGAAGGCCAAGTAAATCAGGAATAATATTAGAAGGGTAGAAAACCTTATTCTATTTTCTAAATTTATATCACTTCAAGCTACATGCATTTAGTGCAAGCACACTTTTAGCTGTTGGAAGAAAATAGGAGAATAAGGATAGAAATAATATAAATGGAAAAAAAAAGTTTGGTCTGTTTAATGCTTGTCTCTAAGCATTTACGAAAGCCCTGAAAAGTAAAAGTACTTTGGGACTATAAACTATATACATGATGGTCCTATCAACTCTACTTGGGCCTATTTAAGCTATTTTAAGCTTTGGTGTCCCACAATAGAATAGCCCAAAATACTTAATGGTAGGTAGCTGGCCTAGCCAATGGTGGCTAGCTTGAGCTTTTAAGCAGCAAGTGAGGGGATACGAAGGACTTGTGTGAACTACAGGGTGGTGTGCTTTTTCATGGGATTTTTTTAAATGAGACTGGCTAGCTTGGCTATCAATGCAGCTAACGTAAGCCTTCACCATTTTTAAGCTCATTAGGGTTTTTAAAGGATCTGGTTCATGGGCTTAGGGCTGTCCTTCTCTTTTAGGGGTTGTTTGGTAGCAAGTATTTGAAGTTTAGAGTAAAAGAATTGTAAAAGTTTTATTTTTGTTGTTGTTTGGTTTGAAGTAAATCAAGCATTTATGTGGGCAATTTTGAGTACCCCATAATATCTATTTTTGATAAATTTGAGATTCGCCCAGATCGAGCGAATTTCAAATATAAGGAAAACTCATAGCTCACGATCTTCCATTCACTGCACATGGTTTCCACTTACCGCCCACATCTGCTCATCACTTTTGGTGCTTTCCATGTCGTGGGCTGCTTGTTATAACCACTGTAACCCCCATCCCCTCTTTCCGCCACCACCCATAGCCCACTGCAACATCCATCGCTGTCCGTCATATTATATGTTGAACTTTTGCTCTCCATGCATCATTTGCCCTATACAGATCATTTGAACGAGTGTGATCAACTTTTGGACGATTGCTGCAGCTAGGCTAAAGGTTTTAGGGAAAGGCTTAAAATTCAATGTATTGCAGCTAACAGGATATGAAAAAGGGTCCTTCATTCATTTGCTGTATTGTTTTTTTCATTTTGACAGGTGATCTCATTTACAATTTTGCGTTATAGGAGACTGAAACAGTCACTTTTTGAAAATAGTAAGAGGCCCAGCTCACACAATTCAACTAATGATTGTAATTTATCTTTGCTATTGGAGGCTTGGAAGCCAATTGCAATGGGATTTAAAAGAAGGTGAGGTTTACCAACTAAATTGCTCTGTTTGAGCTCATTCTTCTTTCAACTTGATAACTTTTTTATTTTAATTTAATTATTTGGGAGCTGCTTTAGTTTCTCATTAAATTTCCTCTATCCACTTATTTTTATATATTTTTTTTCTAGTACGTGCTGATTACTTTCTCAGGTTCCATCACATAACTTTATCCCAACTATTTATAGTTGGCTTTATGACTCTTGCATCCAGCTCTTTTGAATGATGCATATGAAATTGATTTTAATGGCCTTTTTTTAACTTCTGATTAAGGTTTTTTTTTTTTGGTACAAACGCTTTAAAAATGCTTACGAATTTTTTAAATTTCTATGCTATGCTCTTTTTAATTTTAATTTTTTTGGAAAGATGGAGGAGGAAGAATAAGATGGAGGAGAAGAAGAAGAAGAGAGGGAAGAAAGAAGAGAAGAAGAATGTAGGGAAATGGAAGAGGAAGAAAAAAGAAGTAGAAAGAAGAGGAAGAAGAAGAAGAAGGAAAGAAAAAGGACTACCTTGGATGGCGGCGGCAGAGGCCGGCGGTGGAAACCGAGAGGGAGAGGGAGTTTGGCTCTCTTGCATGCGTGAGAGGCGTGAGTGAACGTGAGGGGGGCAGTTGGTAGAGAGTGGGTGAGTGTATGATTGTGGGTTTAAGTTGGATGAGGGGTATTTTAGGGATTTAGGATTTTTTTAGATCTCTCTCTCTCTATTATTATTATTAAAATTTATATGATGTAAATATTTTTCTTTTAAATTATGCTTGGCCTCGGTTTCCACCTCGTCGTTGTCGTTTGTGGATGTCGTCTCTTCAATTCGTGCGCAGTAAACTTAAATTTTCGCCGATCGACGACCGTAATCAATATGAGTGTCGATCGTAGCTGTTTTCGTTGCTTCGGACGTGCTGACACTGGCTGTTTTGCGAACGGTGGCCATTTCAATGATTTTGGTTTTTGTTCAATGTGCATTGGGCGAGTTACGCACGATGTAGCACTCTTTTGCTTTTGAAATTCACCTTGCGCGGTTGACTCGACCCCAACACTGGTATTGAGGTCAACAAAGTTACCATTTGATAGGGATTCAATGCTCATAGCAACCTATGGTTTAATATAGGTGGAAGGATGGATCTAATATGAATGTTGTATCATGCAATAGTGGACATCGAGTACAAACCCAATAATCCGAATGCGTTGTTCTTTGTCTTCTTCCTTTAATGACTAAACATTATCATACATTGAATGATCAATTGACCTCTAATGATTTGATGAAGAAAATGAGAGGATTTAAGGTTGGAAAATTCTAAGAAGTTCTCCTGCTCAGACCTCGAGGCAGAGGGGATCATGACATACATAATCACATGGCCGATAAACCTAAGTTTCCTAAATTTACCTTATTGAAGCTAGTGTTCAGTGGTCACCGGCTGTAGCACATTTGTTTGGATGAAACAAAGGTAATTGCAATGATAGAGGATCACTATTTGGACTATGCTGGACATCGTCTCCACCGCCAACTCGTAGGAGTTGATTTTCTGAACTTGGTAGCCTTCAAAATCCACCAACAAAAAGAAGAATGAAGCCTGAAATACAGGTCGACAGCAGCAAAAAATGTGAAAGAAAAGTGATATGTTGGTGCAGCGAGTGGGCGCAATTGTGGAGAAGAGAAGAGTTAGGGTTTTTATTGAAACATGCAATCAGCTTTTCCCTCTCTAAATTGAAGAATCCTTCTCTCTTGTTTCTTGCGACCCAATAGCAAAAGAACCAAAAGAAATGAAAACCCTCATATTCTCTTTTGTCTAGCTCGCAGGTGCACGAAGCTGAACCTCTCTCTCATCACTCCTTGAACTCTCTATTCTCTACTCGACCCTCTTTCATCTTCGTCACTGTCTCTCGCTCCAAAATCGAAAAATCCACTCTCCTTTGAAGCCTGTGACTTCAAGCAAAGAGAACAAACACTAAAGACAGTCATGCCCTAATGTTGTTAGAGACCAGTGACTAGGATGATTCATTGCTACCTTTGAGGGCCTGCGATCATTGGTTGCATTAGGAGAACTTGCGGAATAGAGGTTCGAAAATTTGATAGGCGCTCGGTTCTGCCTAACCATGCATTAACAACCACTCAATAAACTTTGGGTTGATTTGAAAAGACCTTAGAATGCTGCTGCAAAGATATTTTTTGAGGTTTTTGAGGGTTTAGCTGAATTATGGCTGAACTGAGTGAGCCAATTTGAAACACATTTAGGCTCTATTTGATTTAATAAGGTTCAATTTGACTCAAATTGGTTGATTTGGGTGAATTGAATTAAATTGAGTTGATTGGTTCAGTTCGACTCAATTAAGCAAATTCAACTCAATTGAGTGAATTAATTTAATTTGACTAATGCGAGTCAGCTCAACCTCTAAAAATTGAGTCAACAACTCCGTATCTAAAAGCTTAATTCCTTTTATTGTTCCAATATCATGAATTATGAGAAATCAAACCTGTGATATCACAAAATTTACAAGGAGCAAATTACCTTTTGACATTTACCCAAACATTATCACTCAAATCGCACTTCTCAAAAATAAATGGAATTGACATGGGATTTAGTCGCAAGCAACGGTGAATTGGCAGCTTTGTCACTCGAAATCAGCTCCTTGAGCAATATCAAATATCCAGGATAATACAAAAAGAAGAAAGAACCGTATGTAGCAAAAATAGTAAAAGAAAAACAAACAATGAACCAAACATCCACAGAGAATCAGCAAACTAACTGTGAATCTAACCAAATAGACATTAGAGAATATGAACCATGATTCATAAGGATCATCATGGGCGTGTTTACGCTAAAATAAACTAATACAGAAGCAGAAAACTATGAACTTAAACTATTAAATCTAGATGAAGAACTGAGAATGCTAATTTGCACGTCTTAGCATAGCATCTTGTATTTATGTCAAGCATAAACTTTGACAATTGCATCATCGGCTGAGTTGATGAAGGCCAACGGAGCAGGACTTATCATTAACATTGACATTAAAAGATCGAGTAGTCATTTTCTTGCTTTATTTATGATAAAAATTTTCATTTTTTAATTATTTTGGCTTATCTATTTGATAATATTTTTTTTACTTTATATTATTTCTGGTAATAATCTTTTGGGTCCTTTACCATGAATAAGACCCCTAGTAATCTGATGTGGGGAGTTGAATAAATTAATTTTGAGATTTGTCTATAAGCTGCTGCTCTCTTTCTCAGTTCATTCTCACTCTTTTTCTTTCTTGTTCCATTTCCTTCTCTTTTCCTCTTCTTGCCACCTCCGATATCCCTCTTCGGTACCCATTCTCTTCTCTTTTAAGTATCCATCATAACTCTGTATGCAGTCAATCACTATTCATCACAATTGATCGAAAATTCCAAATTTTTTTTCTTGCAGGTGGTGGGACTCTATTGCTTTACCAGAGGATATGGATAGTTGTGTTGAAGCATTATTTAGGGAGGAAATGAGAGATATGGCATTTTCAGTAAGCATCATCTGATTCTGTATTTGCTGATGTTATGAAGTAAAATTTCACCGTTGACATTGTGTGTATAATGTTATAGGAAATTGAATTATTAAGGAATTTTTCTGATAGGAAAGTGCACTTCTTTGCTCTTCATTTTGCTGCTTGTATCTGTTTTGGTTGTTTTTGCTGCCGTTGGGTTTGGGTATTTAGGTTTGGCAGTGTGGCGTTGGAGAATAAGGCGAATAGTTTCTACTTGTCCTTTTGTCATTTTCCTGGCTAGATCTATTTTGCTTTCTAGCTATTGCTTTGATTTCTGGTATTCTATCGACTTTAGTTTAGATTCTGCAGTTCATCGAGTGGTTCAAAATGGTTTTATGCTGCTATGCTCTGGAAAATAATTAGCTGAGGATTCACGCTTCTTTCAGATCAAAATACCTTTTGGACAACAAAGGGTGGCTATTTAGACGGTTTGCATGTATTATAATCTGTACGTGCAAGGCCATCACTAATACCCTCCAAGTTATACGATCAGTTCAATGAGCCTACATGATGATATTGCATCCAGCATGCTATATAACTTCTTGGACAGGCTATGCCAATTGTATTCATCAACTTTGTTTGAACATCTATGATTTATAACCTTCTTTAAAGTGGTTATTGGATGGATTATATGTGAAAGGATGATATTTGTTGTCGGAGTTCTGCATATTTTCAAACGAATAGATAGATAATTATATATTATGGAGAAGAAAACCCCTAAAAATAATACTATTATGCAAGAATTTATGCTCAAATATATCCATTTACACAAAAACCCATCCACATATATACATTCATGAAATATGTACTTGAATTTATGGATGTGCCATACCAAAATTTAAAAGGTAACAATTAGTGCTATCACAATTAACTAAAATGTCCCCAGAGAATGATAACAGTTATCAATTTCTTGGATTTATCCTGTTATTCCTTGTTCATCCAAGTTTAACTGAACTATAGTATTTTAAAATGGATTGCATTGGTCTTTCGCAATGGTGTGTGATAGTGTTTCATTCTGACGCCCTTTTTTTTCTCTAACTTTTGTTCTTTAAAATGAAAAGTGAAAGTAGGATCTTCTGGAGTCTTGAACAAAAGTGAGATGATAACTCATGTATTAGTCTTAGTGTCTCTTAACTAGTTATTTCAGTAAATATTAATATGCCCTGTTCGTACTCCAGTGTTCATCATCATTATTAGCCTTATCCCAGCTATTGAGGATGCTTTACCGTTTTTTAATAAGTAGATCAATTTACTTGCTGGGAATATGTGAGGCCAGTAAATTGAAAGGATTGGGAAGTTGTAGGGAAGAATGTCGAGAGGAACTGGTATGCTGTTGAGAGAAATTTTTGTAAGAAAAGAAGAATTTTTTAGGTCGAGATAAATTCAAAAAAGATCTCAAGAAGATGCTAACATGTGAGCTGACCCTGCTGGTCAGAAAATTATTGGCAATTGGTTACAATGCTAGCGAACACCCAACTATCCATAGTTTGCATCCCCTCCTTTTAACTTGCACAATTTTATTCGTGATTTCTTATTACAAATTTAGCATCAAAGTCAATAAGATTTTTTGAAACTTTCACATTTTATTTATATAACACACACACACACACTATATATATATATATATATATATATATATTTACATTCCTTGTCTATATAAATTGGTATCTTAGAAGAAAAAGGAGCCCCTAGATTGAGAGGGAGATTTTGAGAGATTAGTGAAATCTGTTCTAAGAGTTTTCTAAGCAGGATTAACTCAGAGGAGTAGAAGAGCTAAAGAGAGGATTCAAGGAAGTTTTGATTCCTCCTTTGGATCTGCCTTGACTCTTGAGTTAATGAAAATTAGTTTCTTACATCAAAAATAAGAATCTAGATTACCTATCCATGCCAATTGCTCGGCTATTTGTGGACAGGCCGATTTGATTGGGAGAGAAAATTAGAAAGTTTTCTAATCAAGAGGGACCTATTTGGGAAGGTTTTTAATCAAAGGGGAATTGTTTAGGAAACTTTTTAATTACTATTGGGAGGGAATTATTTAGGGCAAGTGATCAAATTTAAATTTAAATCTAAGAGGGATTTATTTAGGAAAAGGGGGCTGATTTGGGAGGAAATTATGGGAGCCCATTTAAGATTAATTATGGGGTGATTTCAGATTATGTTTTGGAGTTTGCTGAATTTAGTTTATTTATAAGTTATTTGGGCTCTAGTCAGTGGCTAGGGATTTGGGAGAGCCAGATCTTCCTCTCCAATTGATGATCCAATTGTCACTTGCATTTCTCTTTATAATTTTTTCAATAAAAATTGTTTGGGCGATCTTCTTCCCAATTTTTCGTGTTTCATCCGCTGATTTTTGTAAAAAGTGTATCCACTTCCTATAATTGCGTCCACATCTGAATAAACAGTAGTACAGTACGATTAGTTTAAATCAATGATTGGATCGTACATGACGAACCAAATATTGTCCAGAGAGTCCTCTGGTGAGTCGTACATTACAATCTTGTGATCGTACCGGACGATCCAAACTTAGTCCAGAGAATCATCAGGTGAGTTATATAGTACGATATGTAATTAATTTAGATATGTTTTTATTGCTTAATTAACTAACCTAATTAGGCAATATTTTAAAAGATTTTACAATACGAAAGTATTCCTATAGGACAAACAATACAAATTTAAAAATTTAAATTTGCCTATTTTATGTGAATTAGATTCGACCGGGGGGGGGGTTGGTTATAGCTGATCGTCTAGTACTATGTGGTGGTCATGCTGTACGATTAGTTATATTTGAATTTAATTTTTATTTAAATTAAACATTTTAATTAAATTCTATTTGAACTGATCATACTATACAATTTAATAGAAAAATAAAATCATTATTTTTTACTCCTCCCGTGTGTGTGTGCATGATTGCTAAGCTAGCATATATCTTTTAAATATATTGACTCAAGAAAAAATAGAAGTACAGACTCTTCAATATATAGTTTAATTAACAAACTAACAGCGCCTTGTCTTGAGCTAGAATTTTTGGTCTTTCATGTATGCTGTTACCTAAAAGGTTAGTAGCATTGTTTAAAATTGCGCAATATGAGGCTTGCCTTGAGGCCTGCCTCAATGCAATTCTAGTGAAAAACGCATCGAGGCTTCCGCCTCAAAATTTTTTTATGAGGCATCTCATGCCTCATTGGCGTGAGGCTTACACCTCACCCAATTTATATATATTTTTATTAAAACTTATCTAAATGCTAAACTAAAGCCTCAAACAAATCACCCTTAAATGCACCCTCAAGGTGCAAGAACTTCCTCTCGACTGCTTTGTCTTCCAACCCTCCATTTTTTTTATAGTCACCACCGTCGTAGCTGCCGTTGTGGATCAATTGAAACCCGCACATCACCACCACCTCCTCTAAAATTTTTAGAGTATTAATCCTTTTTTTATTTTAATGAAAACATTTATGAAAAATGAAGATGATTGAAATAGAAGCAATTTGAGAGGCATTGGACTCCAAAGGATGAGACATGGGAGAGATTAATTTGTTATGATGATGACTCGAATAAAAAGCCCCTCAAAGATTATGTGCAAATGATTTTTAAGTTTTTGTTAATTATTTTAATTTTCTTTTGGTATTAAATATGGAGTAGAAAATTGAGAAATTAGGAATTTGGAGTTGAACTTGATATTATATGCCACTTTTATGTCATTCATATATTTAATATTATTTTGCTCTTATAATATTTATATTTCAATTTTATTTCACGCAATTTATTACTTGTCATTTTATCTCTTGTGCAATTTTTTATTTTATATGTATGTTGATTTATTACTTCATTAACACTTTCGTTGCCAGGTCCAAAGTCATGGATGAGAAAAGTGGAGGGTTGTGTTAGGTTGTCGACAGTCAGCGTAAAACTTGTCGAATAATAATGACATGAATCCTTTAAGAAATTGTGTGAATGCTAGGGCGTTTCCTGGAAGCGAAGCACTGTATGTCCTGAATACAGTGACAAGTGTGCAAGGCCGCTACACCGGTGCCCGGGTGCAGTGTTAAATAGGCAAGGGTTCCCATATCAAGGATGGATGTGGACAAAGAAGTTAGTCTATGAAACTAAAAAACATGAAACTAAAATTAGCATAAGAACATGTGAATATATGTTCCCTTACAGAAAATTTAATGGAATGAATAAATATTATGATTCATAGAAAGTTAAATATTTTGTGCATTCAAGAAACTAAATGGGTTGGAGAGAAGACTAAGAAAATTGATAGTTTATGATTTAAACTTTGGTATTCGGGTAGGAGTCGTACTAGAAATGGTGTAGGTGTTATTATAGATAAGAGTTTGAAGGATAATATTATAAAAATTATTAGGATTGGAGATAGAATTATATCTTTAAAGATTATTGTTGATGTTAAGATTGTTAATATTATAAGTGCGTATGCTCCTCAAGTAGGTTTGAATATGAGTTCTAAATTAAATTTTTTGAATGACTTAGAAGAATTAATACAAAAGATATCTCTTGAAAAAAGAGTTTTTTTTAGAGAAGATTTAAATGGACATGTTGGTAGAGAGGTAGATGATTTTAAAAGCATTCATGATGGCTATGGATTTGGAACGACTAGTGAAGGTGGCAAAATCATATTAGATTTTTATTTAGCTTATGATTTTTTAATTGCTAATATCTTATTTAAGAAAAGGGATGAGCATCTCATCACTTATAAAATGGATATAGTATAACTTAGATTGACTATTTTCTTATAAGAAAATTAGATTGTTTAGATTGCAAATATTATAAAGTTATCCCGAGTGAAAATTTATGTACTAAACATCGATTATTAGTTTTGGACTTTAAGATAAATGGACAAAAAAAAGTAAAACGATATTCTAGGTTTAGATGGGGGCATTTAAAGAATATTAACAAAAATAGTTTTGAGAGTAAAGTTTTAGATCTTAAGATTTTGTCTGTGCATGAGGATGCTAATGTTATGTGTGAAAAAGTGGATAGTTATATTAAGAATATTGCGAAAGATTTGTTTGGAGTATCAAAGGAAAAAGCTCATAATAGTAAAAATAGCTGGTGGTGGAATCCAAATGTACAAGAAAAGATTAAAAAATAAGAAGATTTGTTATAAAAATTGGTTTAATTTTAAAAATTCTGATAATTGGTAAACATATAAAGAGGCTCGTAAGGAATTTAAGAAAGCAATATAAGATGCAAAGACCTTAGTTTTTACTGATTTATATAATAGTTTAGATACTAAGGAGGGAGAAAGATATATGTATAAGTTAGCCAAACAAAGAGATAGGAGTAGTAAGGATTTAGTTTAGCTGAAGTGTATTAAGGATGAAGATCAAAAAATACTTTTTTTAGAAGATGATATTCAACAAAGGTGGATGAGATATTTTGCTTAACTTTTTAATGAAGATTGTGAAAATAAGATTGACTGTAATGACCTTAGCACCATAAATGAAAATAAAGATTTCTTTTTTTATCGGCGTATTAGTAAAATCGAAGTTAGAGAGGCTTTAAAGAAAATGAAGGGTGGAAATGCTATTGAACTTGATGATATTCTAATAGAGATGTGGAAATGCTTAGGAGATGAAGGAATTTCTTGGCTTACTAAACTTTTTAATACTATTTTGATGACTAAAAAGATGTCAGATGAGTGGAGAATGAGTTTGTTAATTTTTATTTTTAAGAATAAAGGTGATGCACAAGATTGTGCAAATTATAGAGTAATTAAGTTAATGTGTCATACTTTAAAACTATAGGATAGAGTTATAGAGCATAGATTGCGGCATGATACTAATGTTTCTCAAAATCAATTTGGATTCTTGCCGGGTCGGTCGACTATGGAAGCCATACATTTATTAAGAGGTTTGATGGAGAAATATATAGAAAATAAGATGGATCTACATATGCTATTTATTGATTTAGAAAAAGCATATGATAAAGTTCCAAGAAAAGTGCTATGGAGAGTTCTTGAAAAGAAAGGAGTTAATAATGCTTATATTCAAATCATTAAAAATATGTATGCATGAACTATTACTTGTGTTCAAACACAAGGTGATCTGACCAAGTATTTCCCTATTTCGGTTGGGTTGCATAAAGGATCAGCCTTAAGCCCATATCTTTTTGCTTTAGTCATGGATGTTCTCACTAGACATTTGCAAGAGGATGTACCTTGGTGTATGCTTTTTGCTGATGATATTCTTCTTGTTGATAAGACTAGAGAGGGAGTTGAAGGTAAACTTGAATTATGGAGGTCAACTTTAGTGTCTAAAGGTTTTCGCTTGAGTAGATCTAAAATGGAATATATGGAGTCTAATTTTAGTAGTAATAGACCTAGTGAGGAGATTGTGACTTTGGACGATCAAGTCATTAATAAGAGTATACGTTTTAGATATCTTGGATCTATTGTTCAGAGTGATGGTGAAATAGATGGGGATATTATCAGCATAATTCAAGTTGGATGGTTGAAGTGGAGGAATGCATCAGGCTTGTTGTGTGATAGAAAAGTACCCCTCAAACTCAAGGGAAAATTCTATAAGATGGTGGTGAGGCCTGCAATGCTTTATGGTGCCGAATGTTGGCCATTAAAAGAGAAGCATAATACTAAGTAAAAAGTGTGGCAGAGATGAGGATGCTCAGGTGGATGAGTGGCTTTACCCTTAGAGATAGGATACGAAATGAGCATATACGTGAGAAGGTTGGAGTAGCTCCAGTAGAAGATAAGATTAGAGAGAGTCGCCTTAGATGGTTTGGTCACATAAACGGCCGCCTTTCGATGACCCGATTAGGAGAGTAGAGGTATTAGATTTGACTTATATTAAGAAAGGTAGAGGCAGACATAAAAAGACTTGGTTAGAAAATATTAGGAATGACCTTTCTTTATTAGATTTAAACAAGAATTTGACTTTTAATAGGACACAATGGAGAAAAAGGATTCATGTAGCCGGCCCCACGTAGTGGGATAAAGGTTGATGTTGTTGTAGATTTATTACTTCATAATTCAATAGAAAGTTAACATGTCATCCTTTAACATATTATTTGAGTATTTAATTAAAAATCACTTTTAACATTTATTTTGATTTAACGTAATTTTTTGATTTTGAGGCTTACGACTCAAAACGCCTTGTGGCTTATGCCTTGTCTCATGAACAAAAAATGCCTTAATACCCAATTGCGCAATTTTAAACATTGATTAGTAGAGTACAAAACAAATATCCAAAATAACATCAGGAATAAATAGATAATTATCCAATAATGTTTATTATCATCAAAACATAAGGTCGGGCTATCAGATTGTAATAGCAAACATAGTTGATAATTGTTAAACAACAAATTACAATCATTCAAAAATCTTAATGATGGTCGTGTTGATCATGAATCTCAATCGGAGGGAACCTTATTGTTATAATGCCTTCAAAGTATCATGCAACTTATTTTGGATTAAATTAATGTGAAATAAAAAAATATTAAAAAAGTTTACAAAATTCAAATAGATCAATTGAAATTTACCTCGGATAACTTAAAGTAAAATCCATCAATCTTTTGCAACTATTTGTCGGGAGCGATAAATTTTATAATAACCTAAGCTCACAAAAGAGTAAATATCTTGTTGAGCGTATCACTACGATTCATTTTCAAACAATCTCACCAGAAAGGATGTTGTGTGTGTTTTCGAGTTGGTGGTTTTGTTGTCAAATGATATCATAGATAAATAGTTATAATCGGGACCCTCTAATTGAGTGATTTTTGTTGCAAACTAGCACCATTAAATTATGATCAAGACTAAATTCACTAAGTTCCCCTATGGTTAAAAAATGCTTTAGTAATGAATTATACAGTGCATTTAATAGAGCATAAAATCCTTTTTCTAGCTAAGATTAACTTAAATTTGTCTCCATAGACAAACATCTAGCCCAGCTCTACAAGGTTCACTTGGATGAATCAACCTATAGTTGACGACAAGGATCATCCGATCAGGTTAGGTTGACTAACTCCTTTGAGTGAGTAGAAGACCATGACAACTCTGGACAATAGCAATGATATTGATCAGGTTTGTCATCATTCTCCCCAACATTCATTTTAGGTGTAAGGTGATAAATTTCAAATCATATATCAAATTGCTTGCTGGTGGAAGGCATTGATAGTGCTAGTTGTGTGTGGAGAAGGAGAGGAAGTTGCGGCTTAAGTCTGCTTTCGTCGTTGCCTATCTATGCATGCATGGGCCTAGAGAAGATTTTGTTCAACCACTTAAAACTCATGAAATATGTGTTACTGTGATGTAATGCTTATCTAAAGCATGATCTCCAATATATTAACTACTACAATTTATGAAGTTACTCTGTCAATAATTCTATCCTATTGCATAAAGAGGGATGATGGAGATAGTGGCAAAGATTGTGAAAATGACAAGATCGAGACGTGCAAGAGTATACCACAGAGTTCAAGAGAAAAGCCTTGATGATTGGCATGTCGTTGGAAGTCATCTTGATGCTAACAAAGTATACTATTGGTCTGTATTACAAAATCTTTCATGGACTACTCTTCCTTGTCAAAGACTTGAGTCCGATATGCATGTTTGTCATGGCCATTGAAAGAAAAAACTAAATCCGAATAAAAAAACCTATAATGACAAGAAGGAGAGGAATCGAAGATTGTAGAGTAGAATTAGAATTGAAAAGGTTCTAAAGTTAAGTATGGAACAATCTCTTCTGAAATTCTCTATTGTGATCATTGCTATATTTCAGGGCATGATTCAATGAAGTGTAGGGAGTTTCTTCTAAAACTCTTCTCGAAGAAGTTCAAGAAGGCTTTTAAGGGTAGAAAAGTGACAACCACAGTAGACATGGATCAAACAATAGAATCAGTTAAGAAGATTGTATTGAAGCCTTTCCTTGATGGCTTTGTTGAAGGGGAAGGAGCCAAGTTTGACTCTTGATCTTAATGAGTGCGAGGAGTGAACCTTGCAAATTAGGTAAAGCAAGAAGTGGTCAACAATGCCATATTCGCTTCACCATCACTTTAAAGTACATCAACGAAATGATGTGTGAATTGGATCAGTACATAAACGAAGTGATGTGTGAATTGGATCCTCCAAATGTTTACTAGATTATCATTATATGATCGGATCGTATCGACAGGATCGAGATGGTATCTTCTTTTCAAGGGAATATTAATATGTCTCTCTAAGGAGGAGAATGACTATTTTTCTGATTAGTTTTTTTCTTCTATCATTTTATTTAATTTTCAAACTCAAATCATATCATTGTGATCTAAAAGAAATTTACTTGCAGATCAAGTTGCACCAATCCTCATAGTAATTTCATCATTTATTGCGCTTACAAAAAATGATTCTCAATAGATGACATATAGAAGCAGCATTAAAAGTCAAATTCACCATTGTATTTCACCAACCAAAACTGTCCAATATTTGTTAAATATTATTAAGAACTTGTATTTAATTTTGGCTCATTTGCTAATCTTTGCATTTTAAATTGTAATTTCCTTCTCATGCAACTAAAGTCATTGATTAAGAAAACTGTGATGTATCTAATTGATGACCAAATGATCTTAAGAAGTATTGAAACGATACATGGCTATAGTTTAAGGATGTTGAAGAAAATGAATAGTTCCAATCTTTCAGTAGATTATCATAACATTAAAATCTAATATTTCTTATTCATGCTTGATTTTTGGTAATGTGGAACTCCTTTTGCAATAACATCTCCTTTTTCAGTCTCTTCAACTTCTCAAGGAAGCCATATTCGACATTGAGTGTGCACCTTGTATCCTTTTATATTATTATCTCAGAGTTGATTATTGGCAAGTTATTCAATTTTCCGATGCTTTTCAATATTTCACGGCCGTTCTCCTTAATTTCTGCAGTGTTTTCACTTGAAATATATGGCCATATTATTGACATGTTTGAGCTCAATAATCTGTAAGTAATATATTTTAATTTGCAAGTTGTGAAGTCATTTCTTCAAGTTGATCAGTGAAGCAAGCTTGTGCTTAATAAAATGAATTTTAGGTTTTAAACTGCTTGATAGATGCACCACTTACTAAATTTTGTTACTATTAGTTGACATTTGAATCCAATTATTACAGTGATCTTGTCGTAGCATCACCAGTAGAGAACTACTTCTTATACATTGATGAACTTCCATCTCCAGAAAAGGTTAAAACATTTATTTCCCCCTGTCAAAAGTGGTTTGCATGAATCTTCATAGAAATCTTTCTTGCTGCAGGAAGAAGCTGAGAAGTTGACTCGTCCTTTTCTGGATGCACTTGGTGATGATTATTCAGTTTGCTGTCAAGGTTTCTTTGTCAAACTGAATGCACTTTCTAGAAGCAATTGGTTTTAAAACTGCAATAGTATGAAGCTTTGCATGTTCTTACTACCGGTTTATTGGACATATGACTAGTAAAATAATTTAATGACTAATTTGTTTTTCTGATATTTGACGTTTTTTGAGTAATCTTGATTGTCTAATGACCATCATGGCCAGTATGCTAGTATAGCATTTTGCATAAAAGAACATCAGTCTTTTGGTGTTCCTGTATGGAAAGCCAGACATCATTTACATACATATTCTTCCTATGCTTAGAAATTTAGCTTTTTCACTATATTGGATTCAAATTTGTTCATGGGTGAAACTTCCCCCCTATAGCAAGGAAATAGGAGGAAGAGTAAATGAGTATGGATGGAGAGCAGCTGAAAGCCAAATAATCTCCATGAATAATAAAAATGGTATGAAGTCTAAAGTATGCCTCCTGACCCTTTATTTATAGGGTTAAGAGTGCTACATGAAATGCTGCACCTTGACAAACAGGAAATAATATATGATTTAACTATGACAGGCTAATATAAACTTGAAGACTAAATTGAAAGCTATATATATATATATATGGTCATCTATCTTATACGTGGCTTGGGATGTCTCTCAAAGGGATGGAGTCATGTTCATAGGCTCTGTAGGTGTGTGCCTCGTATAGTTTGAACGGCGATATCAGTGGAAGACGGATGGTTTTGGCCGAGAAGAACCATTAAAAGAGTTGAATTCTCTTAAGGTGAGTGCTTCTTCGACTAAAGGCTTGTTGAGACGAGTTATTTGGCTGAACTTGCTCATAATTGCTCATAATATATATATATATATATATTGATAGAGCTCCATAGGGGTGAGCTTCATTGGGGTGAATATCTATTTGTCCTTGACTTTTCTTGGCAAGTGTTCTTTAGGGCAGTGCTTATTTTGGGGAAGTGCGCCTTCTTGACCTGGCTTATCGGGGTTGAACCTATATCATACATGCGAGTTAGCTATACACACTAGGTTTGCAAAAGTTGTTGCTTGGATGTCGGATAAGAATTTCCTTGTTTTGTTGCCTTATTCCTGAACATTCAAATGTACTGAATGCTGAAATAATTCCCCTACAAGTTTTTTTTTCATCTACTAGTGAAGTTGCTGATATTTTCACAATTATGAATCTATATGGTGGCTACATATGTACACGGAATCTTTTTATATGAGGTGGCATCTTTGCTAGTGCTATCATGTTTCTGTGAGTTCCTTTATGTCTTCAAACACGCTGATTGGATGATGACTTCCAATTGATTGCTAAGGTCCCCAATGCATTAGCTCTAAACACAGCAGATGAAACTTATTTATTTGCTAAGATAAGCTCAAGGATTAAAAAAATTTCTTTTTTTTTGGAAATTGACTTTTTAGTTCTTATCAAGTATCTATAATCGCTTTTAAATGCTATTCTAATTGTTTCCACCATTTTTAACAGGCACTGCATTCTACCCTATACAGAGTTGCATTAATCATTCATGTTGTCCAAATGCTAAAGCATTCAAGCGAGAGGAGGTAACTACCTGCGTTCTAAACTAATTGATTTTCGTCTTTTATTATCCCATTTTTATGCAAGACCTTTGACCATTAAATTGCATGAATCCCAGAGATGGAAGTCATCAATCATCAAGTTTTGCATATCATGCAAGAATAGGAAGACTAAAATAGAAGTGTGGAAAATTAGAAAGCATAAATTAAAGGTCGATTAAATTACAGGAATAGTTAGGATGATATCTATTGAAAACAAGATAGTTAAAATTGGATGTAGGTGATTTGGAGATGTACAACAAAGGATAGAAAATTCATCATTAATTTCATAGATAAAATTAGCATTAAAATTTAAGAAGGAAAAATAGAGTAGATGTAACATAACATGAATGGAAGTTTTTTCAAAATGATTTGTAAAGGATAGGTTTAATATCTCAAGTAATTCTTAGTGGGAATTATAAAAAATGGGGTTCATGAAGTCATTTCCAAATTGTTGGGATGAGGCTAATGCATGCTGCTAGCTTCGTCCTATATGCCGCTTTAGAATGGTAATTTTGGTTTATCATTGGTCCTTAAGATTACCCTGTAGGCAACAAAACTTTTGTTGTGCGAACCTTTTGAGCATGAATATTTTTTTCTTGTAGCATACCTTCTCGAGTATGAATAGGAAAGGTTGACATCTTCTTTTAAGCAATGAAAACTTGAACTAGCCTCTAAATTGGGAGTAATTATTGTGTTTAGACACCGAATGCGTCCATAGACCAATAACAAAGCGCCACATCATTTAGGCGCTCGGTACCGCGCTCGGTACACTCGGTATGCTCGGTATTCTGTACGGACATAATAATTACTCCTAAATTGGTTGGGCTATTAGGTCATTGTTTAACTTGTCTAAATGGTCCACATAATTGATGAATGATGACTTCATAGTTATATCCAATATGTAAAAAATCAAAAAATTTACCTAAAAGTAGCCACCCAAAAGAGGAAAAATCTAATTAATGGAATAAAATTTATGGACAAATTCACCAAGTTATCAATTTTATTTATAAAAAGATAACACGCACATAAATAATCTCTTTTGGAGCAACCCCAGGCATAATTAGCAACTTAAAGAAGTAATATTAAGCATGTTAAAGAATAAAATTTCTTATGATATTAGTTGAGTGGCACCAATGTGCCTCAAGCAATAGTGGCTGGAGCAAAGCTTGAGAGAAAATAATGGCGAGGGAATGTAGAATCATATTGCAAGAAGGAGAAGATTGACTGAAGTGTAGAGGCTGAGAATGATGAAGGCAGAGGCGAAGCCTTGATAGTTGACAACTACAAGTATAATTAGCTAGTTAAAGAAATAACATTAAGCACGTGAAAGAATAAAATTTCTTATGATCTCAGCTGAGTTGCTGCAATGTGCCTCAAGCAATTGTGGCTGGAGCAAAGCTTGAGAGAGAATGATGGTCGGGGAATGCAGAATCATAGGGCAAGAGGGAGAAGATTGGCTGAGGTGTAGAGGCTGAGAGTGATGAAGGCAAACGCGGAGCCTTGATAGTTGCCAAACATGAGGGATTGTAGGGACTACAGGAGCATGCATGAGGATTGTTCACGTTTATTCTAATAAAGTTGGTGGTTGAGAGGTCCAAGTGTTGTGCCCTTACTGATTTAGATTTTAATGGAAATGATAGACATGTCCAACTAATTTTCCGTGGTTCACCGGGTCAAATTAGTTTATAATGATTTAGGTGCTAATTAAGGCTTCGTTTGGGACGATTTTTTTACTGCTTATTGAAGCAGCTTCTTAATACAAAAATTAAAATTTTTGTACTTGAAAGCTGCTTTAAGAAGTAGTAAAAAAGCCGTCCCAAACAAAGCCTAAGAGTTACAATCAAACTAAACTTGCCCAAAGATTTATCATTAAAGCAGGCCAACTGGACGGTCTGATTCAAATTTTAAAACATATGATTCACCCTAATGCCCCTTCGACTTCTAGAAAATAAAATGGTTCTATGATTAGCCCATTAATTTGATTGAATGTTAGAATCATGTGTTATGTAAATGATTCACCTTTGTATTATTTTTCATGCTTCATGCAAAAATCTTAAATTATACCTTTTGTTTCTTGTGAAAAAGACTTGGTTGCTAAAATTATGCTTGATGCATGTATTTATTTGCTCTGTTGAAGACACATATTTGAACCTTTGACTTGTGCATCATTTAGTTTTTGCTGCATGTATTTTGGTTAATTATGTATTTGTGCTACAAATGACTAGATACAGTCCTAAATATCTTAAATATATTCATGCTGGATCTAGATAGACTTTTATTTGAAAAATTGCCCATTTTGAGAACCGAAACTGGAGAATGTACATCTAAGGCTGATTTTGCATCTATTTGCAATGTTCCCAAGTCAAATAGATTTTCTGTTGATTAAGGGGTTTTGTTCCAGTACTTTGATAGGAAATACTTGAGTTCGCAAGTAATCAAAGAGGAAATACTTGAGTTTGCAAGCAACCCTAATAATAATTAGTCCAAATAGTGAGAAAAACAAGAAAATTGGACAAATCAATCTAGAAACGATAGATTACGATGGTAGAATCAAAGCAAAACAAAACTCAAAGCAAGATACAATTGATCCTTAATTCGAGAGGAGGATCGTCTCTCCCAAAGCTCTAGACAAGAGAGTCTAGATCCTAAGTCGCCGAGAAACCCTAATTTCAATAAATCAAAACATAATCCCTCCCTAATCCTCTCATGCTTTTTAGTACAAAAGATTTCCTAATCTAATTTCTCTCCCAAGCCCTAGCCGCCGCCTCCTTTTCAATTTAAATTCCATTGGACAAGTGGGGCCCATCCTTTGGGCGGCCAAAACAAAGGGAGGCGGACTGCTTCCGCCTACTGTAGAAAAGCTGACCGGCCCAGCCGGCCGGGCCGGTTCAGGGTGAACCGGCCTAACATACTTCTTTCATCTGCTTCAGTTAGATCTTCTTTAATTCAATGTGCTGAACTACAGTGCTGTATTCTATGGTTCTTACTTGATGTTTGATAACATTTAAAACTGCAGGACATAGATGGACATACTGTAATAATTGCAGTCAACCCAATCTCAATAGGGGAGGAGGTATTGTTTGCCATCATTTTATTTGAATATTAGCTACAAATATCTCACCTCGATTAAGTGGTTGTTGATTAACTTGTCTTAGAAAAATAGCATTATTTTTGTTCAGATTACTATTTCGTATATTGATGAGGACCTTCCATATGAGGAGAGACAAGCTCTACTGGCTGATTATGGCTTCAAATGCAGCTGCCGTAAGTGCAGAAAGGAGCAATCATCTCGATAGCAGTACAACAATAACCTCACTTTTTTAGCTGTTTTATTTATAATTTTTGCCACTGCCTGCTATTCATTTATGCCCACGTATTTTTAGGTAACTTCAACTTCTATAGTTTTTCAACTCTCTATGTTTTTTTTTTTTATTATTATATAAATTCCAGAGAGTATGATGAACTCTTTTGTCATACTCATTATATATACATATGGGAATAAAACAGACTTTGTCATTGAGGGCTTTGATCCCCAACTGTAAAAGCAGCTTCTAAGCTCAATATAATTATCCGGAAGAATTTGTTGTTTGGCATTCTTTATTCAAACCCGAATGAATTTGACACAAAATCATTTCACTCTTAGGCTTCGTTCTACTTCTTAAAGCAGCTTTTTAGTACATACATTTTTAATTTGTATACTAAAAAATTGCTTTAAAAAGCAATAAGAAAGTCATACCAAATGAAACCTTAGACTTCCTTTGGGACAGCTTTTTTACTACTTCTTAAAGCAGCTTTTTATTTATCAAAATTTTAATTTTTATATTAAAAAGTTGCTTTAAGAAGCATTAAAAAAGCCGTTCCAAACGAAACCTTAATCTAGATTCTTACCATACTAAAATGTGTAGAGATCATTATTAAGTTCAAAAACTAATGAGTCTGACAAAAGAATTACTATAACAAACAGTTGTTTTTCATATAGTTCAACAAACTTATTATACATAACTTTGCTGTCCTCCAAATCCAGAATGGTTTGCGAAGTTTGGATGGGTTCTGCTTGCCAGCATTTCCTTCTCCAAATGAGAGAGGTAACTCTCAAACTCATGTGAGCTTACATTCACTTTGAAATCCAGTAAACAGAGCAGCTCTATCTCCAGATTATTTAGCTCAGCATTGCTCACGCCTCCCACCTTTGCATAGAATGCATTGCTTTGTGCCCTGCAACATGACACAAACCAGCATATTTTATATGGAAAAACAAACCCTAAATAGTCTGAAATGAAAAACAAATTGGTACATACACTAATGTGTGATTGTGTAAGTTTTTATTTGGAATGACTTTCTTACTGTTTTTAGAAGCAGCTTTTTAGAAAAAAAAATAAAAAAAAATTTATATTAAAAAATTGCTTTAAAAATAATAAGAAAGCTGGGTTTCATTTGGGATGACTTTCTTACTGCTTCTTAAAATAATTTTTAAGCATAAAATTTAAATTTTTTTGCATTAGAAAACTACTTTAAGAAGCAATCAGAAAGCCGTTCAAAACATGCCTTAGGCTTCGTTTGGGATGGCTTTCTTATTTTTTAAAGTAGCTTTTTAGTACAAAATTTTTTATTTTTTTTACTTAAAAGTTGCTTTAAAAATCATAAGAAAGCCATTCCAAACAAAGCCTTAAGTAAACATAAGTTGGAAAGAAATTGCTGCATAACTTTTGGTGAAGCAGCTTTCATTTAAACCCAGAGTGCAGTTATTAATATCAATCTTGCAATTTATTTTAAATAGCTGGAATATTAATTATGTTAGCATTTTTTTTCAAAAATATTTTGAAAAAGAAAGTCTAAGGTGTAATTAGCATAATATTTGGATAGGCATGGGTTGATCTGAATATTTAGGAATATTACCTGTATGCTGTGCATAAGAAAAGGAGCCTACATAGGCATTGGTAGGAATTTTCATTTCTGTAGCAGTTAAAATAAATGTTTTTTTTTTTTTAAGTTTAGTGTAAAAATATAAATTTGATAAGATTTGTTCTTAGAATTTTGACAATAACTTTTAAAAATTTTATCAATTAAATTAGTTAACTATGATGTATAAACTCTTAACTTTTAATGATTAAGACCAGAAGAAGGATCAACAAGATATTTTAATTATCTAAATTATTACAATATGCCTAGTACACATTTAATGATCAATTAATGAAGAGGCATGCTTATCTCCAAAGATCCAGGAAAAAAAAAAAGAAGATGAGAATGTGGGATATCTTATACCTATTTTCCTTTGAGAATCATTGCTCTTCATTTGTTTAGATTTTGATAGTATAATTTTCATATTTAAGATCAAAGTTGCTCAATTATTTTAAACATTATCAAAACTGATTTATACGTATGATTTCAATAAATAGATTAGGGGTAAGTCAAGCTGACTAGTAAGCTGGCTCGAGTTTGACTCGATAAATGACTCATGAGCCGAGCTCAATGAGCTAATGAGTTAAGCTTGAGACTATCCTGACTCAAATTGTTAGCTCACAAGATGACATGCATATTAAAAAAATATTAATTTAAAATGTACTTATTATTAACATTCAAGATTTTAAGTATGAAGCAGCCAAAAAATTATATCTCACTTTCTTATATTTAATGATCATTTAATATTTTTCTTCTAATTTCTCTTTTTATTGTTTCATTAAAAAAATTGCTTGTATCACAATCATTTCTCTCTTTTATAATAAAAGAACACTCAAACTCGTAGAATAAAGATTGAGCTTAAGTTCAAATTCAATTAATTAATCAAATTCAAGCTCAAGTCATGATAATAGATAATTATGTTTTTTAATTGATCATCATGAGAAGAGATAATGGTGATCAAGTCATTAATAAGAGAACTCATTTTAGATATCTTGAGTTTATTGTTCAAAATAATGATAAAATAGACATGGATATTATTACTAGAATTAAAGTTGGATGATTGTAGTGGAAGAATGTATCGAGCTTGTTATGTGATAGAAAAGTCTCTCAGAAATTTAAGGGAAAAGTCTCTCAGAAATTTAAGGGAAATTCTATAAGATGGTAGTGAAACCTGTAATGCTTTATGATGTAGAATGTTGGCCATTAAAAGAGAAGCATAATGTTAAGTTAAGTGTTGCAAAGATGAGGATGCTCATGTGGATGAGTGGCTTTACTCTTAAAGATATGACTCGAAATGAGCATATACGGGAAAAGGTTGGAGTAGCTCTGGTGGAAGATACGATTAGAGAGAGTCGCCTTAAATGGTTTGATCACATCAAAAGACAGCCTTTTGATGACCTGATTAGGAAAATAGATGGATTAGATTAGATTTGACTTATGTTAAGAAAGATAAAAGTATACCTAAAAAGACTAGGTTATAAAATATTAGAAATGACATCCTTTTTTAATTTAGATGAGAATTTGATTCTTAACATGACACAATGGAGAAAAATGATTCATGTATATGATCCTCACATAGTGGGATAAAGGCTTCATGTTGTTGTTGTTGTATCATGAGAATAGATAATCATGTTCCAAATCATAGAGAGCTTCAAATCATTAAAATACACAAATAATTAAAAATAATAAAAAATATGTAGAGTTTGGAGTGAGTAGGATAAGCTCTTATTTTAAGCACACCTCTTTACTTCTGTCGCAAGAACATTCGAGAGGTAAATCAGACAATCCTTTAAACAACATGAAGGATTTGAAATCCAGATTTTATTATGATTTCTAATGCAAATGTTATTTTTCATTTTAATAAGGATAACGTTACTCAAGCTTCCTACGCCATTGAATACAACGAAGTGACCGAGCAAGAAGGAGAAACTTACATAACATCGAAGAACTTGGAGGCTACCATGACGCTGGTGAGCATCAGCCGATGGACATTAAGCGAACCGACGAGCAAGTCTGGCCGGCGGTGGACCGCCCGGTCGACGTAGACGAACGCAACCACAAAGCAAGCCGGGCTACAAAGGGCGTAGCTATGGATTCTCTCCATATACTTCTCTATACTTATCGCCGGCCGCCGAAGGCCTCTGAACGCGGCCACTCCCCTTCCTTTTCCGCCGCCCTCCTCTGCCATCGTCGCCGCTGCAACGAGATCGTTCCGCGCCACCAGCTTTTCAAGCGCGTTTGCCACTGCACCCACCGCCTGCTGCGCGTTCAGTTCCGCCGCGGCGGCCTCCAGCTCTCCGACTCCCGGCATTTACCTCGACTGCGCTTTTGTTGATTCTGTACGCCGGCTGTCGCGCCTTAGTTAACAGTTATATATAGAGATATAGACTATTTTAGATAAGGATAGGAATAAAACTGACGATAGATAAGCTGACTCGTGTCAGCCGTGAGCCGGCTTGATTAGTTCATATCGGCTTGACTCAGGAGCCGACTTATTTAAAAAATATTATTATAAAAAATATATATATAATATATCAAAATTAAAGATTCAAATATAGAACTATTAAAAATATTTAAAAATTTATAATATAAAATTTAATAAATAATAATTAATATTTTTATCTTAAATTAATTTTGATATATTCATCCTGACACAAAATTTTCAGAAACTTTTTGATTAAATAATCATAAAAAATGTTATCATATTTTGTTCAAATTTATTTGATATTAATGTTAATATAACTTAATAATTAGTTTATTGTTTTACAATCGTATTTAAATATTGAATAAAAATTAAAATGAGGAAGTATGAAATAAATAATTAAAAGAAAAAAATAATTAAAATAGATGTATCTGATCAAATATAATTTTTTTTTTAATTTTGATAATTTATTTGATGTTTTTTTACTCAAAAATAAAAATTTATGAAAATGTTAGTCTGGGAAGAGGAAGTAAGGCATGAAATTTGGGAACAATTATTACGTCCTTCGACCGGACGTAGAGGAACGTCTGGTCAGAGGTCAAATCGCGCCAAAAAATGAGAAATACCGACCAAATACTGAGCAATATCAAACAATAACGAAGAATACCATCACATGAAAATTCAATACCGAGTTATACCAGTAAATATCAAAACGGGAATTTTGCCTCCACCGGACGTTCCTCTGCCTCTTGCACCGGACCTAATAAAAGTTCGAAATTTGGAGGGGTGGAACTGACAAAAGCATGATACGCCCTAAGTCGTCTGTTCAGCGTCGCTCCTTTCCCCGCCTCTCATCCGCTCCTCCCTCGCGACCTTGAGCACAGACGCAAGCGGCTCCACTTCCACGAGCGCAGAACCGCCGGACTTCCGGCTCTTCTCCGTCGACCTCGACCTCGACCTCGACCTCGACCTCGTCTACAAGTTGATCCAAGTATTGAATTTTCTTGATTTTGGTTGATTATCAGTCGACCTCATCTACTGAAGCAGATTTTTCTTTTTGTCTTCTAAGGGATATGTTTTATTGTCCTCTAACATTCCGAATTATATTTTGCTTGCTCGGTTACGGTTGGAAAATTTTTCTGGTTAATAATAAGATACTACTATTTCTTGTTTAAGTGATCTTGGTTTAAATTCCTGATTATTTTCTCTACTGTAATTTTACCTGTTAAAATATGATTGCAGTCAACTTCAAGGCATACGTTTTTAGCTTTTCAATATTTCTTTTACTCGACAGTGTTTTTGCTGGTAGCTTTTGATTAGGATAAATTTGTCTATCCTTGCTCGGTTAAATCTTATTTATGTTTCTAAATAATTGCTTCCAGATTTAACACCCCCAATCGATTAGATGCATGAAATGAGATTGAAGGTATACAGAACTTTTTGAACTGTGCTCATTTGTTTGAATTCTTTGATGATAATTCCGTCTTGGATGTCTGCTTGATCTTCAATATGTATAAATACTATTGCAAGCCATGAAACAGCAATATTCAGGGAAAATTTGTCAAAACAAATTTAGGCCCCTGTTGAAAATTTTTTTTTGGCTCCGCCACTACTCATAGCCATTCAATGAAGTGTTTTGAATTTTGTTTACATTTACAAAAAAAGATACTACAAAAAATTAATAATTAAACCTTGATCTCTACATCTTTGGAAGCTAAACCTTAAACTCTACATCTTTGGAAGCTAAACCTTAATCTCTACATCTTTGGAAGCTAAACTAGAGAAAAAGATGTGAGAGCTTAGAGGTTTTGAAGGATCTTGAATCTCTATCGAACCATCATGAGGTCACATCATATAATTTACTGTTTTCAAATAGGGAGCGGATTCGCTTGATGTTTTTAAGCAATTACTGGCGAGTAGCAATGTCGGGCATCTTAGAAAATCTTACTTAGTTGATCTATGGGATTGACAATGTTGGTGAATTGTATTGGTGAAGATGTCAGGCTTAGAATTATTTGATCTTAACAATGAGTTCATAATAGCAATGGAGACTCCTATTGGCAAATTGTTTTGATTCGATTTATTAATGCTCTGAATAATCAAAACAATTAGACTTGACCCGATTAAATTTAAAATACACAGTTTCATCTAATTCCCTAACATCTAATATTTTGCCAGATCGAACAATCCCTAACTCTAATTTGCATTCAACCCTAAATATTACAATACATATAATTTTTATCAAAATAAATATTTTAGAAATTTCTAAAATACATATATTTTAAAAGCATCAAACAAAACAATCTCTTAACTCTAGCCCTACTTTTTATTGTTGGTAATTGCATGGTAACAAAAGGTTCATAATAGACGGTTAGGGTTTGTAAAAATGTTAGTCTACGAAGTCAAATAATGGAACGAATGAACTTGTACTTTTTAGGGCCTTTTAATCATCCTCTGACTTCATATTCATTCATAAAAAGTGATAAAATCATACTCAGAAACCTAATGAAGTATTCGTAATTAGATAAAAGTATCTGTTATATTTTTATTCAGATGTTAGAAATATTTGTCATGGTCTCTAATAATAATACTAGCATGAACCTTCAAACAAGAAAATTGTTCGAATATCTCTATTTTAGGGTCTATTTGGTTGGAGGAAAAGTGAATGTAGAGTATTGTGAATGCTTATCTTTTTCACTTTTTGGTGTTTGGATGGACACTTGAGTAAAGTGGAGTAAAATTCTAATGTATTTGGAATTCTCCGCTTCAGTTTATTTTGCTGGTAAAATAAATGCGCATAAATCAATTAAAAAAGGAATTCAGCAGGTGAGAGATAGAGATAGAGAGAGAGAGAGTAGCCCACGAGAATACTTTGTTTCTTCCTCCTACTTCGTGTGAAGTAGAGTTCTGTACTAGCATTTGCTTTTCATCTTCTTTATATCTCTGTTGTCATTCGACCTCATTTCTTGGTGTGAGGAGTTGCTTCTTTGGCTCCATCGTTGTTGTTTGACTTCGCACGCTAGAAGATCTGCACGATCTGAGTCGATTTCGCTTCTTCCACTCCTTCCTCTTTCATTTGCTCTGTTGGACACTCCAAGGCCCGAAGCCCAGTCCCCTCTCGTCTCTTTGTTCCGCACAAGAAGGGCCAAATCCCCATCTCCCTCAGCCGCACGCAATGGTCTGACCATCCAACGATTCCCCACATTTTCCCATCTCTTCTTCGATTCAAACATCAACCACTGCTTAGCATCAACATCCGCTTGTTCCCTCTTCATCCCGAGCGACCATGAGTACATGCCATTTCGATTCAATTGATTTTACTTTACTTTGCATACATCCAACCAAACAGAAAAAATAGTTCCCATTTATTCACTTTACAGCCAACCAAACAACCTCATAAGCGCTATCTTTTTCTTCAACATATAATCTATTTAGGTCGCATCTATAATAAAGTTTCCCCACATATCCTTGCAATGATTGAAGGTTATTGTTCATGTATTTTTTATTAAATGTAAGTTTGAATGCAATCATCTATATATTCAGTAAGTTATAATATAAAGGATATGAAAGAAGAATCTCAAGTTAAAAAACAAATAAGATTTGAACTATATATTCAGTATTAGATCCTTGTTCGAACCTTCTTTTATTTTGTTCAAACCTTATTTGCACACTGAGCACTATTAGCCTAGAATAAAGCTCTAATCATGTTTGAATCTTGCCAGAATAAGATTTGAATATCATAGAATCATATTTAAACTCTGTTAAAGAAAAATGATGTGATTTATTGTATGATAGTCATGGATAATAATTTTTACATGATTTTAGAATTCTCAAACTTCACATGAGAAGTTTTTTGAATTTTTATTTATGAATAACATAGGGAGTAGTTTTCAAGATATGCAAAGTTTGGATATTCTAGGAGATAGTAACATAACATGATTTCACTATCCTTATTGGAATTAAAATATAACATAGGATTGCTTTGATATTGACTAGATGACTTGATCTTAAGTGCTTCTTTTATGAAGAGTCAACTTTGGGGAGATAAAACCTCAAACATATCTCAACTATCTTCTCCAATTCTAATTCCTCAAGTTTACAAAAATTAGAAACAAATTTGAACTGCAATCTATATCAAGGATGTGAATTTATTGATAGACAACGTGTCACAATCAAGAATTGGTATTAGCAAGATTGAATTGAGAGTTAATTTATTTGAGATGCTAACAAACCCAGTTCAAACAATTTTGGATAATGAACTATCATCAATTATAATAATAAGTCCTTTATTGTATGATTTATAATTTTCTAGGATTTAGATATCATGTATCATATGATTGAGACACTAGAATACAATCTACACTCCCTTGGTTATCATCTTTTACATTTAAGGCGTTTATGAGAAGATCTATTTAAGCGAATGAACTTGTTCCAATTACGGTGGAGGTAGGGAGAGTTTTTATTTTTGGTGATTGAATGAATATGTTCTAGAGTAGGTTCATTTGTTCTTTGCTGAATAGATACAAATCAGTTGTTGGCGGCCCGTTATCACATGAGATTATTTATCAAAAGTAGTTTTTTTTTTTGTTAATATTTATTTTCTTAGTATTAGTTCTTTTTCTAGACACTTAATAAATGTAGTTGATCCCTTCTTTTCAATTGTTTTGATGTTTTAGTTTTCCTTGATAATAATTTGTTAGTATTTTCGTTACCTCAATAAAGTTTTGTTTCATATAATTTATGATTATAGATTTGTGCATTCAGACAACTTCATTAGGTTTCTGATTATGATTTATCACTTTTTATGGATGAATATGAAGTCGGAGGATGATTAAAAGGTCCTAAAGAGTTTCAGTTTCAGAAACATCACATTATCGTAGTTCAATTGTTCTTTCCTCATCCTGTAAAAAATTTGGGTGAAGTGCCTTGGACAGAGGTGATATTGTGATCTTTTGTTCTCTGATTTCAAAGGAGTTTATTGGTTTTGGAATATGTATTTCTTCAGACTATCATTATTACCTAATTTTGATGTTCGGATAGGCATCTTCCAGGAATTTAGATATTACAGTAGCTTGCTTTGTATATTTTATATTTTAAATGGATAGATCCCTTGTAAAAAATCTCTTCCCACCCTAGAATACCAAAAAAAGAATAAAAATCCAATTTTATCAGTTGCTGATTACGAGTGCTTGTCATTTTTTCAGGTTGCTAACAATCAGAATCAGAAGTGTGATTGTTACACTGCTTATTATTAGGATTTGAACTGCAGTTCCTGCTAATGGATAGACAACCTCATGACTATGCTGCTGCAATGGCTTTTGCTCAGCAGCAGCAAGCCAATATCCAACAGCAACAGCAGTATGCTTTTCACCCACAACCCCTGCAGCATCCTCAACAAATGCATGGATCACCTTTCATGCCTCCTCACCCTTCTATTCAACAATACCCTTACCATCACCGCTTGCCTCAGCCACAGCTCTATCCACACCCGTCCCATCCCATGCTCCATCTTCAACAGCAGCAACAACCACCATCTGGATATTCACCTCATCTACCCCCTCATCTCTTGCGCCCTCCTATGATGCACCCATATGATTCAACTCCTCCTGCAGACCCAGAGCTTAACAAAAGAATTGATAAGTTAATTGAGTATGCAGCAAGAAATGGTCCTGAATTTGAGGCTCTGATACGTGAGAGGGAGCAGGACAATCCTGCTTACAGTTTCCTTTTTGGAGGTGAAGGGCATAATTACTATCGTTACAAGTTGTGGCTATCTACAAGATCAGGTCCAGCCTTTAATCCTTCATTTGCGTCCTCAATTCCAATGATGCCTCCGTCACATAATCCCATGCTAAATCCTTCTTCTCTGAGCCCCCCTCCTTTGGGTGCTACTTCTGGAGTCCCAGGTTCAATGCTTCCGGGACCTCAATCACACCAACCTTCATTTCCTCCTTATTTCGACCAGCATCAACGGCCACCACATCCCCAAGGTTTCTTGGGCCAAGCTCATACTGACTATGAATCGTCTATGAAAGCTTTTAAGGGTCTGTCAGGGCCACTTCCTGCTGATGTTGCTGCAGAGCTTAATAGCGTGCTTAGCAATCTCACTGGCACTAAAGAGTCAATAAAGGGTGCAAAAATGTGGTTTATGCAAAGGTCACCTTTTGCACCAGCATTAGCTGATGCTCTTAGAGACAGAATATTTTCTCTAGAAGATTCAGAAAGACAGCTACACATAGTTTTTCTAGCAAATGACATTCTCTTTGACAGGTAACCCCCCGTTTTTATTCTTATTCTAGCAACTATGCTCAATAGAATTTTTGTTTGCAGCTAATTTTCTTGTAATTGATAAGCCTATCGTAAGTATTTTGTATTTTGTCTTCTGTAGTCATTTTGGCTTTCATTGGATTATTCAGTTATTCCTTTTTTTCTGGTTAATAATGCCCTGCAACATCTATGATTTTTTAAAGTCAAGCACTTTTCAGTCAACATCAATTGTAACAGCTATTTTCATTATTTTTGTTCTTTACAGTAGCGCTATAAGTTATATTTTGCTTGGCAACTTTAACTTTTTTGTATATTGTTACGCCCGGATCCTCTGAATCAGACCTATAGTAGGAGAGCTGGGCAATTCTAGTGAGGGGATTCATCCCACCTTGTGGGGCCCAAGAATGATTTAATTCAATATATTAGAAAGAGAAATAGAGAGAGAGATTTAGGAATGTTTTAATGATAATTGGTAGGGAATTATTTAGGGAAAGAGTTCAAAATTGAGAAGGAATTAATTAAGGAAACGAGGTTGATTTGGGAGGGATGTAGGGTAGCCTATTTAGGGCTAACTATGTATTATTTTTAGATTATGCAACTGTTATTTATGCTATAGTTTTTCTTTGAGAGTTTCCTAGTGGCGTCGAGGGTTTGCGGGAGAACCGATCTACCTCTCGAATAGTAGATCGATTGTATATTTCATTATTGTTGAAGTATTAATCAAAACCAGCCCTAATATTTGTGTTCTAGCAATTTCTTCTTCTCTATTTTTCTGTTTTCACTTCCAAACCGCATCATATACATGTTCAACAAATTGGGAAATATAATCAATCCTGAAGTTATATTAACTATTGTTTAAAAACTTAATGACAGAGGTACTAACCCAGCACAGATACTCGCTTCCATTTTAATATATATATATATATATATATTGCATGAAGTAGCTTATGTGATAACTGAACTTTCGTGATACTCAAATGCTTGAAGATGTAGAGTTTAATTTGAATAATCTATATACTCTATGCCCAGCACTTTGAATTTACTTTACTTCCGATGGCTAATGCTTAATGCCGCCCACCCCACCCCAGCTTGCAACGGAGAACAAATCCTTTGGATTTGGATAATGAAGCACTTGCATTTAAACCTGTCTTGGGAAGCATGCTTGCAAGGATATATAACAACCCACAAAATAAGGATGCAAACCAGAGTCGATTGGAGAAAATTTTACAGTTCTGGGCTTCAAAGGAAGTTTATGATCAGGAAACCATTGCTAGCCTGGAGAAAGAAATGAGTGGTGGTCTACCATTGGTCTTCGCTTCACACAAGGAAACTCCTTTCGGGTTTGACTCAGCTAACATTACAGGTCACTCCTAACTTTATGATTTATGTTTTCCTCCCTTCTTAATGTTTCCAGCTTTTGTGGGCAGCTTTTTTTGTTTACTTGAACTATTTTTTTCTTTATAATTTCCCAATTTGTGCTATCATAAAGATTTTGCCTTTTTTATTTTTAAAATCAAATTGCTTTGTGCTCCTGTCTTTTGGCTTGAACTTAAAGCATGCAACATGAAATTTTCACCAAAACAGCAATCGTTATTAGATGAGCGAGTCTAGACAATTTATTATAACTTTGCCTTAATAGCACACTAAGTTTGCCAATTAGATCAATTAATGTGTACTTATGGATTTTGTGTGTGCATGCTCATTAGTATTACTGCGAGCTAGTTGTGAGTTACTGATTGTGGATGCCAAGCTAAGATGTAATGTACCAATCCTAAGCCCTAAATCCTACTAACTTCATCTAAGACATATACTAATTCTATATGTTGTTTCATTTGGTGGCATATTATTTAGAGGATCACATCAACTTCAAAAAGACAGAAAATATGGGTAATTTATTTTTTTCATTCAAAAAGGTTTCATCTTTCATAGTTTGAATCAGAATGTAATGACTCAAAGCTTCTTTGAGTTGCCTATGCGCTTTTGGCTACTAGGGATCAAACTATACATGATTCTGAAAAAAATTAAATGTAGTTATAGATACTTGGCATATAATGTGGCTAGATGGGTAAAAAAATATCATTAATTTTGATAACATCAAATTCTTAGGGGCATTAAAATCATCAGTATAATTTAAATTATATCGCCAATTTTGAGTCTTGCACCACAACTTCTTCAATCTTTTCTTAGAATCATTCTTGGTGCAACACTTCAAACTCCAACCCTATCATAGGTTTCAAAACATTCCACAATACTTCTACCCTCTTCCTTCCTTGATATTTCCACCTCATGGATCAATAGGATTTTTGCTACTAGCTCACCAATATGTGTCACTATTATAATTATCTTTTTTATTTATTTTTCCTGATGTTCTTTGTTTATTGTTCGAAGGTCTTTTAAAATTGTATAAATTTTGCACATGGTGGGATGAAAGTACACTAAATCTATTCTCCAATTCTTGCCATGATATCATAGCTCTCATTTTGTTATTAGTTACTTCAACAATTGCAATTTTAAGTTTATTTTTCAGATGCGCGGGGAATCATATGTGCAACAAAGATAGATTGATTAAATCACATATCACATAAACAAGCATTTGTCAAAGTTCGTAGCGGCCCTAACCATCGAAACATTTAACCATTAAACCTGGTGAGGAAGTAATACTAATTTTGTTCCATTCACCTCCAATGATGTTTAAAATGAGAATGGCATCTTAACTTCCTTTTTCAGGAAAATCAACAATCCTTGAACCTCTTTTTTTAAAGACCGCTTTCAATTTGTGTTTTGTAAAGTTATACTATATATCAGGCTAGCGAGGTAGACTTCATTTTATTTTGAATTAAGGTTGGCAAGCCATTGGAACCACAATCATTTGCAAACGAGATCATCATATAAATAATGATAATCAGTATAAAACCACCCAAGCCAATTAACACCTAGATTTGAAACCAACACTAGAGAGGCGTTGTGCTCAAATGTCAAGAATTAAAATCAGAACAGAATGAGAAATGAACTTCATCTAAATACAAGAAAACCTCCCACATCTAGAATGTTAGTATAGGAGAAGACAAGCCAATCCTCTAAAATTATAAGGCTAGATTATAGCTGCTATATCGCAATATAGTAATTAAATTTCAACATACTTTTGGGCAACCAAACTAGACTTACATGTGAGTGCCATAGCGATCTATTCTTTCGCCTTTTACTAAAGAATACCGTGTGCTCGTCACATAAAGCAGCATATGCCAATTTTTTTAGGGTTAAAAAAAATGTGAGTGCCAACTAGTCTAGTTGATAAGGTTCTAGGAAGTTATTACCAATGTATTTATTTCTATGGTTGCCTGTGCCATAATAATTCCCACTTTGTGGAATTTAAGGTAGGGAAAAATAGAAGATAGCACTGTAGTCGAGGGTGGAATTAGAAAATAAACCGGACACGCGTGTCCGACACGCATGTCCGATTTATTTTTAAATTGGACACACTAATGACGTGTCCGACATGTGTCCCCACTATGTCGGACACGTGTATGTGTTCGATACTGCATACCCCCTTAAAATGGAGTGTTGGTGCATCATAGTTTCTTAGGCTAGGAGGATGATACCCATAATATTTCCACTTTAACAAACCCACTATGAGTAGTGTATGTAACTTTTTCCAATATCATGTTAAGTCTACGGGCTAAAATCTTAGACACTTATTAAAGACAATGCGTAAGCTAATTGATTCATAATCCGTCCAAAAGTTAATGTTGCCCTTTTTATGGATCAAAATTAAAGATGTACGGGAGAAGTATTTTGGGCAGCACTAACAAAGAATTCAATGATCGCATTAATCAAATCCTGCTTCATAATGTTTTAAGAAGAATTATAAAATTGGGTAGAATGACCATCAATACACACAGTGGAGTTCTTTAAGCTATAGACGCTGTTCAATTTCGTCAAAGGAAGGGGTCTGAGAAAGTATCAAGTTGTCTTTGATAGTAATGAGAGTCGAAATAAAAAACTAGTCAATTTTAGGTAATAGAAACTTTCATCAGAAAACTAGTTTTTCAAGAAAGTCACAGCATATTCGTCAATCAAAAGAGAATTAGAGATGCCCTCACCCCCATTTTTTTTAATTCTAGAAACTTTGTTAATGTACTCGTAGATCAATTCACGAGTGATATTATTTAGGACTCTTCCTCAACTGATGTAAATTCCTGAGCTTGTTTAAGAGAGATCTTAACATTAATGTCACCATTGGCAAGGAAGATGCCCTCATTCTATTAACTTCCAAAACTATCTCAATATTATGAATGATATTACCAAAGATGTCTTTGTTTTAATTATAAAGCACACTCTTTAAATATTCATTAGACACCACGCTCAATAGGGGTAAACCTAGTTTTAAAAATAAAGCTAAAAAATTTATCATGATTAATTTATATACTAAGAAATCTTATCGTTTAAAGGAAATTCAACTTGAGGTAGCTAATCTCTCATTGCTTGTTCTATAACCTAATTGATTCTGGACTCCTAGAAACCTCTTGCACCTGCAGATCTTTTTCAAAATTTGTCATGAATTTACATGAGAAGATATTTTTTACTGAAATTTTCTTCTAAATGGTCGTCTCGCGTTTCTCCGTGCTTCGTTTTTATTACTCGAGTAAATCCATATGTAGAATACCAAATACTCGAATATAAAGCTGCAAATATTCTCACTTATTTGCGTGTTAAGTGCAGGTAACACATCATCAGAATGGCAATCCGATCGGCATAACTTAGTAGATCTGCCCGAGCTTGAGAAGCAACAAGCCACAGTTTCAGTCCCACCAAGCCAATTTTTGCCCACAGGTCCGTTTCTTCCCAACCAAGTTACCGTTGGGATATATCAACCTGTGCCCCAGACTTCATTCCCCGGGGTCTTGCCACTTCCAAATTCTGCTCAAACCACTCCACAACCAAATATTCTACCAGGTGGCGCAACCATCGTCTCCGACAAGGCCCCTCCGCCATATCCGCTTTTCCCGCCCGGTCTCATCCCCGGCATGGTTCGTAAGATGCAGATTGGCAGTGGCGTTCCATACTCGCCATTGAGCCCGCTCGACATCCCTACGGTTATCCCACCATCTAATATCCAGCCCTCAGAGATCCTTGAGAGGGTTGGGAAGTTCTTCAAAGAGATCGGGGAGGTTAACCCGTCAGATGGGCCAATGAACTCATCAGAACCAAATGATGAATTTGAATATGATCAGGAGGAGCCTATTGCTCGGAAGGGCGGCGCTTGCATACCACCACCACCAAATCTACAGGTCGACCCGGAGACCGGTACATATCCTGATGGGAGTGTCGAGCGAAAACCCGGCTCAACCAGTACTGGGAGATTGGGCCTTGGCGCTACGGCTAACCCAAATGAAGTCAGCCAGTATGATGATGTGTACACTTCATATAGGAAGCAAAGGAGCACCAATTACCATTCATCCATGAGTGCAAGATCTTCTACGAGGTAACAATAAGATCATGTTATTCAATTTTTAAATTTTATTAGGCTTAGTAGTTTGTTCTGTGAAAGCTTAGATCATCAAATCTTCTAGTTGATTTTGTTGAGTAGCATGAGAATATTAACCGCTCATGAGTGTCTGGATAGACAGATATTGATGGTCAGCGAAAGAACAATGTGTTTTTTAAGATGGCTTGGCTGATGTTCACTCTCTTTTTGCATCAACTGTCCTTTTTCATTTCATTTCGCCTTGGAACTACTTGTTTTTCTTTTCCTGATCATATGAGGACACTGGACGGAGATGACTGTTTGGATTTGCTGTATTTTTACTGTATTTTTGCTGCGCTTTTGCAATAGAGAAGTAAAAGGGCAACAAATATTTAATTTTTACTAAATAGTTAAATATTTTTTGTGCTTTTGCAAAAGGTCAGCAAAAGTGCATTAAAAATGTATTCATAATTGAATATTTGCTGCCCTTGTATTACTTTTTTGCAAAAGGGAAGTAAGAGCATAGTAAATTTGGATGGTTCTTTTGTCCGGTGTCCGCACGTGATAATTTCTCCTAAAAAAATGCATTGATTTTAGTTAGTAAAAAGATATCATTCTCTTCTTAGGAAAGCTTTCTAACATTAGCAGATTCAGATAAAGTATATTGATGTCATTTTTATTCTCATTCAGGTGATTCAAATGAAAGGGAAAATTAAAAGAATTAAGGTTTCGTTTGGGATGGCTTTTTATTAATTTTTAAAGCAAATTTTTAGTATAATTTTTAAAGCAAGCTTTTAGTATGAAAATTTAATTTTTTTTATTAGAAAATTGATTTAAGAAGCAATAAAAAAGTTATCCAAAATGAATTAAAATAAAAATAAATATTTAATTATGTTTTATTCCAAACAATTATTATTTATGACGCTCACTTAATATTTTAGAGCAATATTCCGTCGGACGCTATCGTGGTCAAAAAAAGCTCTGCAAGCTTATTTTAATTAATGCCTATAATTTCCCATGCATATGCGATACATTATGTGGTGTTTTATTTATTATATCGGAACATATCATGAGCTAAAAAAATGTGGTATAAACTTGGATGTTGATAGGTGTAAGAATGATAATTAAATAAATAAAACATTTATGAAAAATAAGAATAAACGTTGATTGATATGTATATGAATTGAATTTTGACATGATCTTTGAATTAAAAAAATAAATTAAATTAAATTCAAGATCATTCAAATTGTTTTTGATAAATATATAGTCAAAATAGAAGTTCTGATGAGATGAGTATGATGTTACCAAAAGTGTTTTGATTTGAGTTCAAATAAGTCCAAATTAAATTTAGTTGAAAATTTTTCAACTCCATCATATAATGCACTGTATATGATGTATATTTGTTATATTGAGCCAAAACCTTCCCCCCAATGAAGAATATCATGTTGTATTGAGCTCGATACTGTGAAGTACTGAGTACCAAGCAATAACGAGCTCAACATCGAATAGGAGGTGATATGACACATTTTCATTGGCTCCGGACATCATCCGGTGTCAGAACCCAATAATTTCTCCTTAGATTGACTGTCTTATCTTTCTTACCAAACATATACTATTTGCCTGCAAAGACAAAAGCAAACATTATCATTATAGTTAAAAATCAATACAAAAGAGTCTATTGAATTTTACGTTAAATATCGCCCCCACCATAAAAGCAAAACACAAGCTACAAGTTATCCATTCAACAATGCAAGGATGACATTTACAAGTGAGAGCACTCACCCTGAAACCCTGAAATCATGGAGTTATTATTCTGTGCGGACATCGGACAGTTCTCCCATCCGATTAAGCGCTCGGTACCTAGCAGTACTAAGGAGTACCGAGCATGGGTACCCAGTAATGGGGCCACATGGCTCATTTTTATTGATCTCCGGAAGACATCCGGACTCCGCACATAATAATAAATCAGAATCAAGAGACAAGAATGCCACTAACTCAAAATAAAGCAAGATGCACAAGATTTTAAATAAAAATGAACTCTCACAGCCTCCAAAATCCCTAACCTTTAGTCCAATAGGGATCAACATTATTTGACTCCTTTTTATAAGTACTAGACAACACAAATTTATTACTAGCACTTGAAAACATAAATTTAGTCTTCATATAGAATTGACTTTTTTATTGGTTCTTAAAATAACATTTTAGTATAAATTAATACTAAAAAACTAATTTAAAAAGCAATAAAAAAATCATCTCAAATAAAGCCTTAATTGAAGCATGATTTAACGGTTAATATAAGACAAATAAAAAATATATAAAAAAAATACCATATTGACTTTGTACAAATTGCAAAATGAAATATAAATGTTCAATTTTTTTTGTATTCATTAGAATGCAAAAATTATTTTTCCATATTCATTCAAATTAAAAATAAAAACATTTCACATATTTGAATTGAATTCATAAAATGGTTTTCCATATGTTTGGGAATACAAAAAACTAATTTTAGTATTCTTTTGAACGAGGGAAAATATCTTTCACATTCTCCTATTCTACTACATTTCCGGCCAATAATTCGCAAATCATCATTTTTATCCACAAACTTCACTCGTCTTAGGACTACAACTTTACAATAAGCGGGAACATAAAATAATTTAATGATACTTTTAAATGAAAACTTAAAATAATTTAAACCCCAAATAAGATATATTATAGGGATGTAAATAAGTCGAGTCGAGCTTAAGTTAAGAAATGTTCAAACCCGACTCACGAGTCAAATACCAAGCTTGAACTTAAGTCGAATTCAACTCACAACAACAAAACAAGCTCAAGTGGCTCAGCTCGATTTCTGTTTCCTGCCACGATTAGCTATTTTCCAGCCTAGATTTCAATTTCTCACTGGCTATTTAATGTTTTCCCACCTGATTTCTCGTCCAGCGGTCACCTCAAGGCCCTCATCAACACGCCACACACGGTTTATTTGCACAGTGGACTGCACTCCTCGTGCTTTGTCCACACACGAGACATCCAAAGATCGCGAGCTCTTTGTCCGCCTTGAGGCCCTTGTCCGTTTTTCTTTTTTAATTGCAAGTGGAATTCAAGTCGGTTCGTGAGACTTATCAAGCTTGAATGTGAACTCGAGCTCAACCATGAACTCAATAAGTTATCAAGCTTGAATGAGAGCTCAAACTCAACTCATGAACTCAATAAGCTCGATTCACGAACCCATAAATAAATCAAGTTCGAATCAGCTAAGTTCTAACTTAAAGTTTAGATTACTTAAATCAATAATTTCAAGAACCAAATTTCACGCCAAATTTTTCTCTAGCCAAGATGCCAACTTTAAAAATTGGTGATTTATAATTTCATTAAATTTACTCAATCCACGAGCAAAGATGAAATATTGCATAAACATTTTAGGGAGCTTGTAATTTTTCGAAATCATGATTTCATGCCATGAAAAATTTCAAGAACCTTATTATAAAATAAAATTTACATGTATTAGATGTAAATTGAAAGCCAACTCCTAATGAATCCAAAATCATTTAATTCTAATGTCAATACTTCACTTAAATGTATAAGGATCAATCAATGATAAAAGTATGCTGTTTGCCACTCTCAATATAAATAAAGTTCCTTAGATTAAAATTAAACTCAAATACTCGAAGAATCTTATAGAATTCATCATTCTGTTTTTTTTATAAAAAAATTTGGTTCCGAAGGCACTTTCTCTTGACCCTGCTTGACCGATCACCATAGGGATGTCAATTTGAGTTGACAGATAAGTTTGAGTCAAACCTAGATTAATCCAATTCTAAACCAATCAACCCAAACCCAACCCATTTTTATAAATAAATTGGCTATCTCAACCCAAATCCAACCCGCACGGATTGCCAAATTGACACAACTCGACCCGATTATCTCAACTTGAAGTAGCAGCAGCAATAGGCACAGCAGAGCAACGACAGCAAGCACACAACATCAGGGCACAGGCGCAGCCCAACGAGAAATCGACATGCACACGAGCGCTACTAAACCCAAAGCAAGCACTGGGTTCTGGCACACAAGCTGCGAAGCGGAAGCTGGCACGCAAACGTGCGAAGGCTGGCCCATGTCACAACGTGACTCGCGAATGACAACAAAGCTTCACATGTTGGACAACACGGGCAACCGGGCAATCAACATAGGCAGGGACCACTTTCAGATCATTTTCGAGTTATTTTCAATTTCCCTGGCAAATCCAAACCCGACTCAATTTTTAAAACCGATCAATTTATTAAACCCAACCCAATAACAAATGAGTGGATCCAAACCCAAAAAAATCAGATCAAACTTCAAGTCGTGTAAAAAATTGACACCCCCTACCAATCAAGACAAACCTCACCAGAAGGCGCTGCCCCCTGAACCCATTATATATTTATAAAATAAGGATCAATATTGACTCATTTTCTTGTAATGAAAGTATTGAGCCAAATTCAAGACTGATTCCAAGACTAATTACCATCAAATCATCAAATTACTATTGTTCATCCACTACCATCATAAAGTCGCTTGCCATCATCAAATCACTACTATTAAATGACTCTTAATCAAGCTACTTAAACACTAACATTGAATTAACGCCATTACTTAACAACTATCATCAAACTTTTGCCACTAGAGCATTTTTATCAGAGATTTTTGGCATCAAACAACCAACATCAAATCATTAGCTACCAACATCTACTACTAAATTGCCACGGCAAAAACCAACAGTATAAAACCAATAATTCTTGAGCACAACAATTTAAGTGTCTATAATCTCCTACCAACCCTGCAATTTTACTTATCAATCATTCATACTTTTATAATCTCATCTTCTCCAAATACTATGAACAATAAATCCTTTTGATCAACATTCAAAAATTATAATTATTTCATCTAGATCATAACTAGTGATTTTTTTCACTTATTAGTTTTTTAGATGAATGATTTGTGAAGAACATATCAGAAATGATTTTTCATAATTAAATTTAAAAGATAAAAATTTGATGTTGTTGTCATAGAGTTTTCTAGGCAAAAACTCTAATTTAATTTTCAATACACTCCTATGTTATTTTCTTCTTTTTTTGTGTTAAATTTTCTTGCAAAATTAAGACAATTCTCTAATTTAATTTTTTCACACATAAAAATCAATATCTACTGAATATTAAAAGAATGTTTAAATAAAAAATTTTAATCTAAAAAAACCAATAATATCAACAATCAAATGTAGCTATGAAGGTGAGATATCCGCAGAACTGAAGCAATTTCTGAGTTCTATATCACTGTACTCTAATCAAAGAACATTAAGGGAAAGGGAACGAAGCTTTAAAACATTTGGGTTGTGTGAAGTTGGAAAACCATGATCTATTATTCTAAAGAACATAACCAGACATTAAAGGTACGGCTTTCCAATCTCCACAAATCAAAAGAGTTGATCTTCTTCCTCCCATCCCCCCTGATCTTATCTGCTTTTACAATGAGTATAATTCCATAACAAAATTTCAAATTAGCAGTAAAATGGCCTAAATCTCAAGGGTAAAAGCAAAAAAGATATACTTATAATCTTCACACTATCAAAAATCAATGATCCTAAAAGTAATCGGCCTGGAAAAAAGGGAAAACTTACAAATTAGGATTAAATATAAGTGGCGTTTCCAGGATCAGATGGCACAAACATGAGCCAACGATCAGGATAACCACATCAAGAATTCATCTAGCGCCCGAGCCATTATACCAAAAGGAACAAATTATCCCATGGAATTGGTAATGGACGCCACTATATACCGTGAAAAATCCATTCAACTTAAAAATTTTAAAAACAGAAAAAACATCTTTATCGTTAAAGATAGATCTGAAAATGAGATTAAAAGCAAAATCATGAAAGCAACTCAGAGATGAACTATTACTGTTTTGCTCAGACAGCCAAGGGTAGTCTTCAATTTCTGGCTAAATATGACCAGATCAGAAACTCTAGTCCAAATAGAGACTCATCATGGCAACAACAGTAACTACTGGATTGAAATCCAAAGAACAGCACTTACAAGAGGCGTATATAAGCCGATGCGAAAGCGAATAAAGGACATCAAAGGAAGGAATAAAGATGAGCGATTTTGGAGCTGCGATAATCGACAGAAAGGTTAGGTTTTGGACTAGCTATTGGTGCGCTAAGAAGATCTTTTATAGTTACCAGAAGCTAGGGTTGGCAAACATAAGGAACCATGTGGGCCGGTGGATTAATATCGGACGGTGCAAAGATATTTGTTACACTTCTACTTTCCATTGATGCGGCTCCAAAAAGAGATGGTCGACTGCAAAACCGTCGTTCAAAGGAGAAATTATTAAGGGTATAAGTTGGACAAATTTATTTTTTTATTTTTTATTTGTTGTATGAAGGGGAAAGTTTAATTTTTTTATTTTTTATATATCATATTAATATTTGACTATTATTTTATTATTATTTTTAAAATTTTGTGTGATGAGAATTTATTTTTTATAATAAATATCTTAGAATGTATTAGCTATTAAAAAACTATTATTTGATTAAAAAATTTTTATAATATCAATAATAATCAAAAAATATTTTTACTCACAAAAACTATATAATTATTTATAAAAATTGCAAACGCCACAAACATATTATTTTATGTGAAGATTTTATTTATACATATTGTTTTACTATTCCTTTTATATAAGGGGGATTTCCATACATACCACTTTATTTCATGCTATTTATATATCTAATACTTAAAATTTTAATATTGCATTCCTATCATTCATATAAAATTTTAATATCAAATATATCACTCATATATTTCATTATTATCACCCATATCACCTTATAAACTGTAACATTTTATTCTATGCACCCATGTTTATTTTATAGGTGGTATGCATGTAATATTAAAATTCTATGTATTAGATATGTAAATCCCCTTCAATTTTTTTTTAAAGATTTTATAGTGTAATAATACCTGAGTTGGTAATAGACGAAAATTTTATCTAACCAACAATAAACCTTCAACTTGTTAATCACTTTCCTCAAGCTTATCAACCACATCTATTAAAAGAAGTGAATTGTTGAGACCTTCTAAGTCTAGTATATCACACCCATAAAATATGGTATCTATAAAGTAATTGTAAGGATATGATAAAGAGCATAGCATTACCAAAGCTTGATCTTTATCATCAATAAACACATGAATATTTCTCTAATGATACAATTAAGTTCATTTAAATATGATTTAATTGACAGACATTTTAGTATGTAAAGTAAATAGAATCAAGCATGAATGAATCTTGAGTCCATAACAATCTATCATAAAATGTAACTATCATATTTTATATATTAGATAATTCATAAAATTTAGACTTAACACTTAATAAAGGAAAATAATCATGATTATATTAAGAAGATGATAATAATTACTTTTTCAAAGTTTAACCAAATATTGGTTAGAGTTTTGCATGATACTTATAATAATTATAATTCATGTAAGATATAAGTTCAACTTTATTGAATAATGTTACAACTTACAAGAAGTTTTCTAGAGATAATTGTATCATAGAAACTTCTAAAATAAAGGAGAAGTTATTCTCATTATTTAGAAATCACATTCAAAATCAAATTGAATTTTAGGCTTCCTTTAGGATAATTTTTTTTTATTGCTTCTTAAAACAATTTTTATTTCTGCCTATTTAGCACATGGGGTGATGGAAGAGTTTAGTAATTCCATGTGAGCACTCAATTTTTTGTTAGAGTTTTTGTTATCCAACTTAATTATGTTTTTTGTATTTTCTATTAGTTTTATTGCTTTGGTGTTGCCTTTATCTTATATTTATATATAGACATACATTATGTAATTTCATTTCACCCTCTATAAAAGCAAAAGCCGAGGAATAAAAGTTCTCTTATGTTTTTTACTCTTCTCCCTCTCTCCCTCCCTCTATATTCAAGAAAGCTTTCTTCCTCGCCAAGTTTAAAAGATTCCAGCCGATTATCCTCAAACAAAACATAGGATTCGTTTGGGACGGCTTTCTTATTGCTTTTTAAAGTAGCTTTCTAGTTCAACAAATAAAATTTTTATACTAAAAAGCTGCTTTAAGAAGCAATAAGAAAGCAGCCACAAACGAAACCAAAAATCAATTCTTTCTCAATAAGGAAGTCATCTAAAAAAAACACTAGAAATCAGTTATTTATAACAGCACAGTTCTTCCTTATCTCACCTTCAAATCCGGTCTTCAGCTCAATCCTTCCCATCTTCTCCATTGACAAAGCAAACCCTCTTGGAAATTTTTTATGGTTCTTAACCAATTCTATAATGAAAGACTTGGCGTCACTGTTAGTTATTAAAGCTGCATCAGATTGGAATAGACCTCTTCTTTTAAGCAGATTTCTGTAATAACCAAGATCAAATGTTCTGAAACTCTCAGGATCCATCTCCACAAAACTCACAGAATTATTTGAAAGCCTGCATTTCTTCTTCAAATTCTCAGCATATAACTTATCTAAAGAAGGATCATTATCTCCTTTACCAGAGAAATTTTAGGCTTTCGCTGAAGGATGAACAATGAGATAAGCCAATTGTGTGACCTCCTGATTATAGCAGCATATTAAATTCAAATTATTAGCTCTAAATGCAAAGCTTGCAAAAAAAAAATGAAGATTGAACTTACCAGATTTTTTTTTAATGAAGAATTTATTCCATCAAAAAAGAGTAGTACAACAAGCATAACGAGTAACGACCCAACAAGAAAAGATTACAAAAGGGAAGATCAAGAAGATAACAGAAAAGCCCACCGGGCTCAATAATTGGCAAAGGCTTCCAATCACTCCGAAGTCAAGCACAAATCATCCAGAGGAGTGAAAGAGCAATAATCCACCAAAAAGCCAACCAACCGTCAATACCGAAAAAAGGTCTCCAACAGAAATAAGAAGATGCACCACCAAAGGTTGCCAATGAGCCATGGATCCATAGTGGGGAGCTCGAGCCACATCATAGCCCAAATAAAAGCTATAACCGCAGGGCCAACAAAAAATCACAACAAAAAAATTCAAAGTATCGCCAGCAAAGAAAAACAAAAAACACCAAATCGACAACCACCAATTATAACGGATGCTAAAATTAACTTGGTTGTCTTTCGTACGTCCAAAGCACCACCAAGGATGCCAATGTGCCACATCCAATAGGGGGATCAATGTCCAAGAATCAAACACAAAAAATATCATCCAAAACGACATCACCACCAAGAAGCCAACAGCCTTCAAATAAAATCCAACAGCAACGACCAACCCAAACAACAAAACATAACATTAGAAAGACAAAACAACTAGTAGAATTATTTCCTACCACGCTTACCCCTCCTACATGAGGAATCTTTAGCAACAGGATGGCCAATCCTCAAAGCATACTCAGCCCGAGGCTCAACACAACCTTCCCCAAATGATGAATCAGACTCCTCCAACCAATCAATTTGATCAAGAAAGCTACTCTTCAAGTTGTCCTTTAAATGAATTTTAAATTCATCAATGGAGATAAGGGAAATATATGTTCAGAGTGAAATGGAGATAAGGGAAATTAAGACTAGAGAGGGAGTTGAAGGTAAACTTGAATTATGGAGGTCAACTTTAGAGTCTAAAGGTTTTCGCTTGAGTAGAGCTAAAACTGAATATATGAAGTGTAATTTTAGTGGAAATAGACCTAGTGAGGGGATTGTGACTTTGGGCAATCAAGTCATTAATAAGAGTACACATTTTAGATATCTTGGATCTATTATTTAGAGTGATGGTGAAATTGATGAGGATATTATCAGCATAATTCAAGTTAGATGGTTGAAGTGGAGGAATGCATCGGGCTTATTGTACGATTGAAAAGTCCACCTCAAACTAAAGGGAAAATTCTATAAGATGGTGGTGAGACCTGCAATGCTTTATGGTGCTGAATGTTGGCCATTAAAAGAGAAGCATAATACTAAGTTAAGTGTTGCAGAGATGAGGATGCTTAGGTGGATGAGTGGCTTGACCCTTAGAGTTAGGATACGAAATGAGCATATACGTGAAAAGGTTGGAGTAGCTCCAGTGGAAGATAAGATTAGAGAGAGTTGCCTTAGATGGTTTGGTCACATTAAACGGAGGCCTTCTGATGACTCGGTTAGGAAAGTTGAGGTATTAGATTTGGCTTATGTTAGGAAAGGTAGAGGTAGACATAAAAAGACTTGGTTAGAAAATATTAGAAATGATATTTCTTTATTAAATTTAGATGAGAATTTGACTTTTAACCGGATGCAATGACGAAAAAAGATTCATGTAGCCGACCCCACGTAGTGGGACAAAGGCTTGATGTTGTTGTTGTTGTTGTAATGGAGATAAGGGAAATAGTGACTTCAATAAAAGGTTTTCCATTTGGTTGAATAGGAACAGGAGGGAAAGTCGGATCAGATGTGAGCAACTAAGAAGCATCATTAGTTTCATTAAGAGATACATCCAACAACTCCTTGCCAATGCAATGATCCTTTCCCACAGCCACTAACGCATCAGCTAGAGGCAGCTCAACAGAAGAAGGAAAAGTGTCCAAATTAACATTACATTGAATCTCTTCATGCATAGTAGAATCCAAATTCACAAAACTACAATTAGCTTTCTCCGGAACAAAATTCCGGGAAAGCAAGTGGTTGGATAAAGCATTTTCTACAACATCCAAAGTCACATTATCCAAATTCTCTACAACCCCTTTAGGCTTCTTGTCGAGCAAATTTAAGGCAACATCACAATTTTCGCTAATACCCGTATTCGCCTCAAGAACATCGCTAGCAAGAGTCACATTATCCCGATTCCCCTGAACTACCCGGGGATGAAGTTTAGAACATTCTTTCCTAGAATGACCTACAACTTTACAATGCTCACAAAATGATGGAAAATCATCCATCAAAACAGTTTGAAAATAACCGAATTTCTTAAGACCCACCCACACCTTATCAGGATACCTTTTTGTGATATCAAGTTCCACCAAAACTCTAGCAATCGACGAACAAGAACCCACCGTCGTGGCATTATCAACATGAAGCGGCTGTCCAAAGATAGAACCCAGGCCATGTAAGATACGAGAAGAAAAGAGATGTGGCCTTAGGTTCGGGAAAGATATCCAAATAGGGACATAGGAAATTCCTCAGAAATGTCCACAAAAGGTGATCATTTGGTCAGTTTCATAAAGCAAATCTAACAAAATAGGAACTATGAGCAAACACACGAGAGTAATCCAAACCGCTTCACATTTTGATCAACTCATTACCGGAATCCAACAGAGTGATAGAAAATTCTCCGGTAAGTTCTAAATTAAAGAAAAACCTCCTAATGCCATCCAATGAAGGCCTCTGATTAGGGAAATGGCCGACGAAGGAAAATGCGAAAAGGGCAGCAAGTGCCAAAACTTCTTCCTCAGAAATCCATAAAGAGGGGTGTTGCGGACTAGAAAATACGCGACGATAGAGATTTAATTCTGCGTCTTAACGTTGTACGTATAACTAGCTCACACACAGAGAACACAAGATTTTTTACGTGGAAAACCCTTAAAAAGGGAAAAACCACGAGGCCTAGCCCAGTTGAAAATGATTCTACTAGACTTTGAGTTGGTTACAAAGGATTGAATCACCTCCAAGGGTGATCAGGTTACAATCAGTTACTTAAGTAAGACGTCAGGTCTTTGGGAGGACGTAGGGACTGAACGTCGGGTCCTGAGTAAGACGTCGGGTCTTCGGCAGGACGTAGGGACTGAGTGTCGGGCCTTGAACAGGACGTAGGGACCGAGTGTCGGGCCTTGAACAGGACGTAGGGACCGAGTGTCGGGCCTTGAACAGGATGTCGGGTTTTCGGCAGAAGGTAGGGACTGAGTGTCGGGCCTTGAACAGGACGTCGAGTCTTCGGCAGGACGTCGGGTCTTCAGTAGGACGTAGGGACTGGACGTCAGGCCTTAAGGTGGTGGTCCGGCGAGGTTCCTGCGGTGATCCGACGGTGGTCCGGCGAGGTTTCTGCGGTGGTCCGGCGAGGTTCTGTGGTGGTCCGGCAGTGGTCCGGCGGCTGTCGAGGAGGAGCTCCTTCCTTCTCTTCTTCCTCTCTTCTCTTCTTCTCTCTCTTGCTTAGATGCTCTCTTGTGAAGAATGAGGGCTCTATTTATAGATTTTCTGGAGTGGCATGGTCCGTAAATAGGTGTGAGATCAAGGGCGAATAGGGAGTTGTCAAATGGACGGCCGATATTGAATCCTACGATCGTGCACCGTTCGTTGGACATTTGGAGGCCTTAATGATGTTGGAATTTAGTGATCTTGGGCTCGTTGGATTCGTCTCGTCGAGCCGTTCGATTCGAGTATAAGCTCGTCAAAATCGGAGACCGTTTGGTAACTCAAATTGCGGTTTGAACCTTCCGACAGCGCTTTGAACTCTTGATTCGGACTTATTTGGGCTCGGATTGGGTCGATCTTGGTGTTGTTGGGTTCGTATTTCCGAGACGCTCAGTTTGACTGTAAGCTCGTTGAAATCGGAGTTCGGATGCTCCCGGATTTAATTTTTGAAGTCTCCAACTAGTTTTTGCCTCGAGATTCGTGCCTGATCAAGCTAATTTTGTGATGACGTATCAAGGGGAACCCTCGAAATGAGGACTGCTTAAGATCCGGAAAAGACCCAGAGGGAAAACACTTAAGGGCATCAATAAAAGAATAGGAGTTGGATTTACCATCAAGAAAACCAGGATCATCAAGCTTAACTGGCATAAGGGAGGACAAGAAAAGGAGAAACCAAACTAGGAGGAAAAAAGAAAAAACACACATAAAGGAAAGAGGAGAACTTCCCTGAGCAAAACGAACCGTCAGCGAGCAGCAGAAAAACGCTCCTTATAGAATGCTAGCAAGTTAGTGTTGTTGAACTTTCCAGATAATAATACAAGATCAGTGATGTTTAGCCCTTTTCTGTCAAAATTTTTTTGGAGAAAACTTATATTAGAAGTAGGGGCTGGAATGTTTTCTAAAGCCTCTGAAGCCCTGGAGACACCGGTTGGAACATTCCATGTTGGCCCTCCCTTTGATGCATTGAAATCAAAAGCAAAGAAGAAAAATGTTTAAAGATGCAGAGACTTAATAGAACTGAAATAACTAGACCAGTACTTTTCATCTCTCTCTCTCTATCTCCCTCCCTCCCTCCCTCTTGTGAAACTATAGAACAATGCACAAGGTCTTGTGCTTTCTCTTATGCAAATCTGTCTTCTCCTCAAAATACAAGCTTGTGCTTCTTATGGACCATTTGTAATACATTTATCAATGCAAAGCTGATGAAGTACGATGGGATATGGTTGTTCGGTAGAGTGAAGGAGAGAACAATGTACTGTTCTCTACTTTGTTTTCTCTTATGTACATATCAAATAGGTTTTTTTAGAGTATAGGTAACAATTTTAACATGTCAATAAACAAAAGCTTGGAAAAGGATAAATGCTCATTTTTATACTGAGTAGTAAATAAAGAAAATGAAGCATAGAAACTCTTCCCATCGAAAAGGTCTAGCAAGAAAAAAAATTCCCTTAATCCGATACTAGGATGTTCGAAATAAGATCTTAAATGTGTGGTGCCAGAACTTTTTCCACATCAGATTATGATGAGCTAGAAAGATCTTGTAATTCTTTTTTCGAGCTATCTGAGCTTCCAATCATTAGGCAGATCTTGTAAACCCTTGGCTTGAAAGATCTTGAGAGTATATTTTTTACTTTTACAGTTTCAATGAGATGAATGCATCTCTTCGAGGAAAAATTATTCTGTGCGGCATTAGGGCGTGCTCGGATTCCTAGACGCGTCCGGAGGTGAATTCGGACGCGCCAAGTCACCAGGCTCTGGTGACGTGGCGCATCCGGATTCGCCTTCGGATGCGTTCAGACGCCGCACAAAATAATCTCTCCTCTTCAAAGCATTAAAATTCATTTGTAGCATATATGTATAAAAAGAAAGCTTATGAATGTATTCACATTTACGAGCACTCATGAATGTATTTATGTAAGTATGCAAATAATATTTAACCATATCTCTAAAAGATGAAAGGGAAAATGCTCTTCCCCATCACCACATGCTTGATTTATTTTTTGAAATCCATTATGATACAATTGAATGAACTCTTAGAATAAAGGAATATGAAACCCCAAACACATCAGAGATGAAAATCTCAAATCTGTAACTTACTGTGATTTCAACCAATCAACACTCCACTCGACTTTCACAATCTTAACTTATCTAATTCACAATAGCACACTTCTTCCTGATCTCACCTTCATTTCCTGTTAACACTTGAATATTCCCCATCTTCACCATTGACACACCAAAATCCTTAAAGAACTCTGATGGTGAGCCATATATCTGGCGCTGAAGATAGGCTCTAGCCTCACTGTGCTCAAGAAGAGACTGATCAGAAGTGAAGAGAACCCTCCTCTTTAGCACATTCTTGTAGTAACTTGCATCAAATGTCTTGAAGCTACCAGGATCCATTTCTACTATGGTGGTCACATCATCAGGCTTGCATTTCTCCTTGAGCTTGGGTAAGTAGTACTTGTCCAAGGAGGGATCAGCATCGCCCTTACCGGTGAAGTTGTACAGACGATTCGAGAAGGATGAGCAGTGTGAGGTGCCAATGGTGTGGCCCCCTAAAATAGAGAAATCAAAGGTTAAGTTGAGTTCATTGTTATCAATGACTTGTTAGAAATAAGTCAATCAATTCAATTTCAAGCTGAGCTAAATCTGCCTTAAATTATATTGATTTGAAGTTTGCTTCAACCAAAAAACTAAGTTGTTTTTGTTAATTTCAGTCCCTTGAGATAATTTTTTAGCTCAACATACATACATATTTCACTCATAGCGATATAGATTCATTTATATAAATGAATCAATGTACATATACATTCATTTAACTCTATAACAACAATATCAAGTCTTTGTCCCACTATGTGGGGTTGGCTATATGAATCCTTTTTCTCCATTGTGTCATGTTAAAAGTCAAATTCTCATTTAAATGTAATAAAGAAAGATAAATTCTAACATTTTCTAACCAAGTCTTTTTAGGTCTATTTCTACCTTTCTTAACATAAGTCAAATCTAACACCTCAACTTTCCTAACCGGGTCATTGGAAGGCCTCCGTTTAACATGACCAAACCATCTAAGGCGACTCTCTCTAATCTTATCTTCCACTGGAGCTATTTCGATTTAACTCCAAATACCTATAAATTTATTCAAACATACATATGTTTTCAATTTGTTTTCTAGCTATTTCGATCCAATCCAAGTTCAGCTCAATTCAAATTCAATCCAAAGAGAGCTTAGCTTTTTAGCTGGCTTGACTTCATCCAATCCATCTTAGGAGATTGATTTTTTGTTGTTGTTGTTGTTGAAGTTTTAACAATTTATACTTGGTTCAAGCAATTAAGTACTTGAGCTGGGTCATATTTGACTCATTAACAAATAGTAGAATGTGGTAATTTGAAAGAGCACCTGAAAGAACAATGATGTCCTTTGCATTCAACCCTTTTGGAGCGAAGAAGCCATTAAGAATTTGAGTGAAGTTAAAGAATGGTGGAGGAAGATTCCGGAGGGTGTCTATGGCTACAGATCGCCTGCCATCTCTCCGTCCAGTGGGCACTTCCCAAAATGGTCCATTGGTCTGAAACAAAGAATATCATTCAACAAAATTTTAACTCATATAGCTGATTTTTAACAGAAATATGCAAAGGCCATAAAAACATTTTTCCTTCTTTTTAGCTATTTTTAGGGCCAATAATTATGTTAAAAATCACTTAAATTTTAATCAATTCGAAGACAAATCACTCGATTAAAGCTCATTTGGAGCGGCTTTCTTAATACTTTCTAAAGCAGCTTTTTAAGACAAAAAATCTTAATTTAAAAAAATTTTGTACTAAAAAGTTGTTTTAAAAAGCAATAAAAAAGTTGTCCCAAACGAAACATGAATTCAATTCAACTCAAAATCGACTTGATATATTATATAGAAGCATATATATTTACCTGTGTTCATAAATATAAAATATGTTTACACATATTCATAATTTTATAACATAAAGTATATATACACATTCATGCATTTATATTTAACATATTACATGACAAATTATGAATGTTTATATATATATATGTTAATAATAGACTTTACTACTGATCATACAATCCACAGCCCCTTAATTTTTACTACTGATTGTTATATGCAGATAAACCTGTATTATTCATCATACCAGAACAACAGCATCTCTAGCCACTAAGGCCAAGATATCAGCACAAGATACGATCCCGGGGCAAGCCTCCTCCAGCTTCTCTTTGATGCCATCAATGGTGCCAAATCCTCTCAAGCTAACGTTTGGTATCCCATCTTTCTCTGCTGGGCTGCTTCTTGTTCCATTCAACAGAACTGAGCCATCACATCCCTGCAAAATGGTTTTTGAATGGTTTACATAAATAACATAAAACATACAACACATAACATATAACATATTGATTGAAAATGGAATTACATTGACAAAACAATCATGGAAATGCATCCTCAGCAATGGCCCTGCCAAGCTTGGAGCAAGCTTCATGACTCTCTTCATCTCCTTAGAGACAATGGCTTCAGCCTTTGGGCAACTTTTTGCGTAGAATCCAACCTTCAAACCATTGGCTTCTGTAAAACTTGAGAAAAGAAGAAGAAGAAGGGAGAAAACAAGCAGAAGCTTGGAGAGACCCATTTGCAAATGATGTTATCTTACAAGTTTTGTATGATTATGAGGGTTTAGTGATTGTCTTTATGTTTTATAGAGGCAATCAGGCAATGCCTTGATTTAAAATTCGTAGCCTGAAAGCTGTTGTTGGATGCTTTAGGAGATTAATTAAGTCGCTTAATGCTGATCATTTGCTGTTTAAGCTATGAGAATTATAAAAGTGGAGTTATTGTAGGATTAGTTGATGCTTGCAAGAAAGAAAGCAAGCTAGATAAACATGTTGACATTCTTTTTTTAAGGCAATAGAAATATTATGCATGCGACAACTTATATGGTGGATTGAATAATTTTGTTTAGCAAACTCAGATGCTTTTGTCTTGACAAATATGCTAAAGATAATATTACTTTTAGAGATTTTAAAATTACTGAACTAAGACTTCGTTTGGGACTGCTTTCTTTCTGATTCTTAAAGCAACTTTTAGTACAAAAATTTTAATTTTTTAACTAAAAAGTTGCTTTAAAAGCAATGAGAAAGCCGTCCCAAAAAGAAGCCTAAGATTAGTGTTAAAACTGAGTTAAAGTGAAGAAAATAAGCTTTGAGAAGAGCTAATAAGGCAAGCAAAGCAAAATTTAAGGTGGTGGCATGTGCTGAGCACTCAGAAGTAATTGGTGTTTGATAATGCTAAGAAAATATTTGTGGTCAGCTTGGCGTTTAATATGAGATATTTGTAGTTCGTGGGCTACATGTTTGGGATTATATAATGGAATTCATCATATAAAATAGAGTAAGGTTAGTCATATATAATGATTGGGTTTTTCTTTAATTAGAAGAGTACTGTGCCCAGTTTTATTAACATAAAAAATTCATTGAAGGATGGAGCAGCTGGATACTTTTTTCTTTCTTAGTGTTTCAAAGGTTTAAATGTCGGTTAGTAGATATAAAATCATAATGATTGTAAGAGTCCACGCGAGTTGCACTGACCAGTTCATTGCATAGCTTTTTTTTGTGTGTGTGCGCGCGCGATTAAAGCTTTGTTTGGGAATTATTTCCAGCAGATTTTTCGGTGCTATTCCGGCGAAAAAAATTTAATCATTCGTCGTTTCTTGGGCCAGATAGCGACGTTATATCAACAACTATTTTTGGCGTAATGGTGCACCGGTATTTCCGGCATAATGGTGCGTCAGTATTTCCGCCGGATTAGACGTCGTCATGTGCGTCGGACAAATTTCAACGCGTTCAACTGCCGAATAATACGCCGGCAATTCCGGCGAAAAAAAAATACGCCGGAAATCGACCACTTTTTTGTTATATCATCATTTCCGTTGGATTGTCGATTTATTATCCGTCGGAAACTTTTTTGTGTTAAAAGGTTGCTTTAGAAAGCAACAAGAAAGTTGTCCCAAACGAACGTGATGCCGTTCTAGGGACAAATAATTGGTCATGAAATCAGTTAAAAACAAATTACAATAAATAAATTTGTCATTAATTTTTTTTAATCATTTTGTTGTTTCAAAAGTAGGTTATTATTGCATTATTGCCACCAACAACCTCATGAAAATACAAAAAATATAGAAAGCAATAAAATATCCAACACAACCAATAATGACAACCAACATAGCATTCATATTATTACAATGACAAGCAATATGATTAGCATACAGCACAATAAATAGCATTCAATATGGAGAGCTATTATATAAATCAAAATATGAGATCATAAATAATTTGGTCAAGACATTATAAAATTCAAAAGCATTGACATAGTATCATTATAGACTTCAACATCTTGGCTAGAGCAAGGAGCAAATTATATTATATGATGAATTTCTTCAATGAGCTTACTTTTTTACCCATAATATTATTATAAGCTCGTGGTTAATAAATGTTAATGATTTTAAAAAACATAATTAATATTATTTGCTTCTTGTTGAGCACTTTTTTGGGAATAGATCAAATCTTAGACTACCACTGGGTCTTATAGATTAGATTTAAACTACGCTATTTAGGGTTAATCTTAAAAACCCATAAGTTATATTAGAATCAAACTCTCAAACTCAAATCACGCCCTCATCCTACATTGGTATCAGATTATGTATAGACCTAATATATAAAACCTTAGGGGACCTTTTGTATCCAAACATAGTCTTACTTACCTAAATCAAACCTAAATTCAAATATTGTTAGCCCAAGGACAACCATGAATCAATTATGTCAACTTGGACCTATCTAAGGCCAATATGAACCACTTTAGCTAACTTAGTCAAACCTAGGTCTATCATAGACCAATAAGAGAATATCATATACCTTATAAGATTTTAAGATAAGTGGAGATCTCTTATATTTTGAGGCTTATAAATTTAAATATTTTTAGATGAGTATAGACCCATTGTATGATTTTCTCTCTTGAAGACCTTTTAATGAGGACTCTATCTAGTACTAAGTATCCTTTAAGGCTTCCTTATTAGCATATTTTTTCTAGAAATTTGAGTAGAAATCCTTTCTATCACTTGCACTCATAGGGACTTTTAGTGAGGTCTTTATCCAATAGAAAGTACCCATCTATGCTTTCTCACCAATGTGTTTTCTAGGGTATTTTTCGTAGTTTAACTAAGCTCCATTAACTACCAACCTGAGTTCTTTTCATAGGTTGTAATCCGTGATGAGGATGGTTATAAGAAATTCCATAAAAGATTAGGTCAATCTTAATTTGTTAGTATGCGGTGTCACCTTATGATTTAAACCCATGGTGAGAAAGAATGTTAAAATTCACAAAAGAGTGTAATTATGATGATGAAGGAATTAATTAGCCATGACTAATGGGAGGTACATTTAATCATCCAAGGGGCAGTCATGCTTTATTATTATTTTTTCAAAATTGTGATTTTATGTTTAAAATATTTATAGGCTCAAAGTGTCCAGACATTCAAATTGGAATGTTTTACAAAGTAATTCTAAGATCATCTAAAATTCATTATGGGTAAACTTATAGTTGAAATAAGTGTTTAAATAAGACAAACCCATCGATGCCAATAAAACTTTTATTTGAGTCCAAATTGACCTAAATCAAGAACTTATAAGTAACAATCATCCCAACAAGATGAATATGTGGAGCCTTAGATTACTTCACTTTGATTTTATCAATACATTAAGATTTTTATGAAATATAGATTAGTTAGAGGGAGATCAATTTGGATAATCGAATGCATTGTCCTTCTTTCTTAAATAAATGACTAGGATGCCCCCTAAAGAAATCTACAAATAAGCACTACTTCTGCACATTTAAGGGGGATCCAAAAGATGAATCGAGTAGAGAGATTGTCATAGAACTGGCCAACAACACCCATTTTTGGTTTTCAATTAACATTAATATCTGTCGTCACCTAACGTTGACATTCACCATCACTTAACGCCAATGTCTACCATCACCCAGTCATCATCAAGAATCATTGACATCTATTGTCAACTAGCATCAATGCCCGACATTGACCAACATTGATGCCAGTTATGGGACAATGCCAACGCTCACCAAAGGCCATCATCACCCATCATCATTACCAACATTAATGCTTGCTATTGATGTATATTGATGCCCATCATTGTCCAACATTGACATCCATCAGTAACTGTCATTAATGCTACTAATATTAACTTATTCGTCTTAAGTTGGTCAAGTGCTAACATTTAACATCATCCTTCCCGATCATTTTTCCACCCCTCTTATAAGAAAAACAACCCAATAAAACACATGCCATCATCACATATTTGACATTCCTAGTTAATCAGCCTCCATCGGTTGCCAATATCTAGTTTGCCCACCACCATTTAGACACCAACTTCTTAGTCGTTGGTCTTCCCTTTTAAAAGTTGAAACCAAGCAAACCAACAATTGATTACAATGTATTTTGCCTAAAAATTCTTGACGTTTGTTAACCATTGATACCTTTATTTTGTGGTCACTAATCTCCTCTCATTAAAGGATAAAGATCAAATAAATCATCACCTAATGCCTGATGTTCTTAGTTTTTTGTCTCTCAACACCTATAAAAGATTTACACGTAATATTTATTAGCTACTGAAATTCGACTACTATCTTCTCAATCACCCAACCCCCACTTATAAACAAAACGATCAATGTGATCGTTTAATGATAACTCAAGCATGTCAAGATTGCTACTACCATGATGAAAAATATATTTCATAGTTCTTTTATGCAATATTGTATTAATGACTTGTCAATATACAAGCAATGTCATCATTTATAATATACAATTAATAATAATAATATCATTTCATTTGGATTAGAATATTTAGTTTTTTGCTATTTGTAAAATTTTCACCTAAACAATCTAATGTCAACTATGATAGCTCTTAAATTACTTATATGCATGAGAGATTTTTATTTAATATCAGGATGATAAATTATCCATTATTATAAATATTCCAACACAAAATAAAATTTATAAATATATATAATTAGAATGGTAGATTAATGTTTTTTTAATGAAAATTATCGAAAGTAAAAAAAAAAGGATATTTGAGGGATTTCAAACATAATATTGAATTCTAATGTATTTTCATTCTAATATTTAAATATTTATATTTATTTATATAACATACTAATAATATCTAAATAACATCAAAATTATTAGTAACATATATTGTCCAAAGTGAAATATGTATCCATTTTTATACATATATTTTGATATAATTAGACTCAAAGGTATTAGATAATAAAATATTAAAATTTAAATATTAGATATATAAATACATAAATATAATTATGCCCACCTTATATATCTCAAATTTATTGGATTTTTAGCGTATCACTCAACGAATTTGATCTATGAAATAAAATTTAAGCCATAAAAAAATTAATTTAATTCAAATTTTATTTTAGCTCAACTCAAATTCTACTTGAAATCATTTCGAATCCAGTAGACTCCATTAGATATTAGTTATGAATATAACTAATTAAGTTGCATTAAATTTTGAGCAAATTTACAAATTTTTCCGACAACCCTAATTC